CAAGATCTCGACTTATTTATGTCGTATTCTCCAGGTGGCACCACTGATTTCTCTTTGACAGCGCGTTAACTTCTGAGATATTGAGGAAATGGCTGATATAAACTTGTTCTCACAGGAAAACCAGCCTCGTTATTCTGAGATTAAAAAAAAAATTATTAAATCGAGATCTCGAATGAAACATCTGGAAATTTCTAATCAGAGGAAAACAGAGTGAATAAAATATTTGGATGCATGTCCTCTTAGGGCTCCTGTATGTAAAGGAATAAATAGTTTACTCATGTGGAACTGATTAAGCAGCATTTTGTATTTACTTACATTTCCAGGAGTTATTTCTCTGTAAAGAGTTGAAAGAAGAGAAAGTCTGTGCAGGAAAACCAACAGATCTCACAATTTTAGGAACTTGTTTTGTTTTCGTAGCAAAAAGTTCAAGCTCTGAGATAAGAAGTTTTATAATTTGTTCCTCACGGCTGAATTTTATTGTTTTCCTCGATAACATCAGGTACAAATAATCCTGAAGAGAAACAAGAAATTAAATTCATACCAAACTAATCTGGGGTCTCAGGAGGTTATCTAACTCCGAGGTCAGGACCTCCGGGATTTGAATATCCAACATCCAACTTGTAAAAACCTGCAGATATTAAAGGTCATAAGTGATCGGACCACCACAGCTCGTTAATCAGAAAACCTGATGATTGTTTTGGAGTCGAAATGAAGCTACAAGGTTTAGCATTTAAAGGGAGTTGTTCAGAAGGGCGTCTAATCTCCTCAGATCTAACAGTGAGCGCCGTGGGAGGAATATAAGAGTTACATAAAGTACGTCACCTGGGATTGAACCCGAATTGATTGACTTTTTGGATGCTGGTCAGAGAAGAGACGATGCCATGACCTCTCTGTAGAAGCAACTTCGCCAAGTACAACATTAAATACACAACATGTCAGGAGGGAAAGAAGATTTCACAGGTGGTCACACATTTGTAATAAATATAACGGTGCAGAGAATTAAAAAACTAAACCGATGATTCCGTCATCATGACCTCTGCCTCATAGCCAGCTGGTTGTGTCCTTGTTCTCCTCTTTACAGAGAAATATTTCCTGGAAATGTAAGTAAATAAAAAATGCTGCTTAATCAGTTCCACATGGGTAAACTATTTATTCCTTTACATACAGGAGCCCTAAGAGGACATGCATCCATATGTTTTAGTCACTCTGTTTTCCTGTGATTAGAATTTTCCAGATGTTTCATTCGAGATCTCGACTTAATAATCTTTTTATCTCAGAATAACAAGGCTGGATTTTCCTCAAGATCTCGAGAAGTTAACTCACTGTCAAAGATAAATCAGTGGTGCCACCTGGAGAATACGACATAAATAAGTCGAGATCTTGAGGAAAAATTTATCAAATATAATGCATGTCCGCTTAGGGCCTGAACACTCAAACAGTTTTTTAAGTTCCAAATCTTTGTGACCTGCTTTTGAACTTCCTCCTGAAACAAGCACAGGGACTTTTTAATAAACATTAAACAACAAGAGCTTTAATTTATTGCCTTAATCTGTGAAATCAGTGTTTGATCTTGTGATCCTCGTCAGTTTACCCTCCTCTTTCCCCTTTCTGTGTGTGTTTGTTTGCAGACATATGGCTTTTCATGGGCTTCATTTCCACCACTCTGCCAGATGGTACAGACTCTGTTTCACTTTTGGTCCAGCCATTTAGAATTTCCTGTACCTGTTTTATGCAAATTACTCACACTTGTTCTCCTTTGCCTGAAGCTATCCTCTGATCAACTCCTGCCTCCATCTCACTCCTGCATCTGCTGGATTCAACCCAGATCAGCACACACCTCTGGATCTCTGGACTCAAACTAATCACCCCCCCCCCCCCCCCCACACACACACACACACACACACACACACACACACACACACACACACACACACACACACACACACACACACACACACTCACCTGCTTCAATCTGCTCCGTTCCCTGCCCTAGGCTCATCCTCTGAATACCACGAGAACCTTTCATAATTCAGCTATAGTGAATACATTCTTTGTCTGCACCTACTCCCCTGCCTCCATATCTGTTCTCTTTGCACTTGAGTTCTCAAAACCAGCTCTGCCTATAACAGCTTCCCAACAGATGATTACAAAATGTCTAACTTGTAGACTGATGAGAAACTGAGATAGATTAAATGTTTTGGAGATGAATGGTCACTCTGTTTTTAAAGTAGTTCATTTTGTAATGAACAGTACATTTTGTAAAACAGAGTCACAGAAATCCAATTTAAATGTGCAGGAACCTGACAGACCATCTTAAATTACTGCAGAAACAGGTAGAATGTGTACTTTGGCGCCCTATGCTGGTCTGCACATGAACAGCAGAACAAAATATTTATCTTCTGTGCAAAAAATACACTTTTTGGGACTTCAGAGGCTACGTACAATTCTCAAATGAGGAAAGCCTTTTTTCTGACACAAAGACAAACTTAAAAAATGACTCAACTCCACAGGGTAGAGTACAAAAAGACAGGTTTGTTTTCAGTCCAGTTCGATACACAGGCAGTCCAAAAATACGAGCAGTGAAATCCAGAGAAGGCAAAAGAGGGGGTGAAAAAGGCAGACAATATAGACCTAAAGGGAGGACACACAGGGGTACACACACAATCAGGTGACAACAACACAGAAGTGAGTTCAGGGCATGGCAGACACACAAGGCGGGAAACCTGAGGAGCAGGAATCTGGAAGACAGAGACCGTGGCCCTTCCCCCAAAGCCACAGTTCAGTATGGTGTAGACTTTCTGAACCCTTGTGGTCATTCAGAGGGCATTTCTTGGGTCCACCTCAGTAGACTGAACATTTCAACATGGATGATAACTTCCAGGTTTTGTGCAGTATGGTTTGGATGCATCCTTTCAGGAAATGGCATTGATCTAAGGCAGGTCACACCTACACATTCACACACTGATGGTAGAGGCTGCTGTGTAAAGTGACCATCAGGATTAACTAACCCATTTATACACATTCATACACTGTGGACGAAGCAGCAGGAGCAACTTGGGGTTAAGTGTCTTACCTGAGGACACACCGGACATGTTGCTGCAGGAGCTGGGGCTCAAACCCCCGACCTTCTGGATGAGGGACGACCGACTCTACCAACTGAGCCACAGCCGGTCCAAAGGTCAAAGGTCAAATGTATCTTTATTGACCCCATAGGGGAAACATACAATACATAGACAACACTAAGAAATAATGCAACTAACATTAGGTGCATAAATACATAAAACATGAAAAATGAAAGCCCAGCAGAGATGCTCCAGATAAAAGTGATAAAAGTGAAAGTGCAGTGTGCAATGAGCAAGAAATTAAAATTCAAATAAGAAATTCTATTTAATAAACAAATAGCAGCAAGTACAAATGAGACCTGATGCCTTTTAGTCTTCACCACAGGCAGTCTGTACCGTCTGGGGGGAGAAGACTAAACTCTGCATAGAGAGGTTGAGAGCTCTGCAGGAGAGAAGTCACCTTTCTGACCACCTGCCTGCTGTAGAGGACGCTCAGCTGGACTTGACTCCTCCCTGCAATCTTACTCGCCACTTTAACCAGGCTACCAAGTCTGTTTATCAAATATGTAGAGTCTATCAGTTTAAAAGTGCAAAAATTTAGTTTTTTTCCAGGATTATATAAGATATTACCCAGAGAGTACAAAAGTTCACAGTTTAAAAAACAAAAACAGGGTGAATCAAAAATGTGCAGAAATAATGTTCTGGAGGAGTCAGACGTGCAGGAAAATTAATTCAAATGGATTTGAGCCAGTTTAAGTGAGTGTAGAGAATATTTTCCACAGAGGTAGATGAGAGGCGGAGAGGAAAGATGTTTAAAACCCCACACTGACAAAAAGGGATTTATGAAATATCATCTGAATTATTGTCTGACAGAAAGTCAACAGTGGTATAATATTTATATGTCACAGTTATGGAGAAACAAGGATTTTTTGTTCATAGTTTTAGGAAATGTTGGAATCCTCCCTCTCTTTTAGTGACAACAGGAATTATGAACTATTGTAGTTCCTAGAATCCCATTTAGAGGAACTTTTTGAGCTCCTGCTTCAGAGTAGGTACTATGGCAGTGCAAATGCAGACGGAAAAAAAATCCCCCCGGTGTAGTTCTCAGGGACCTCTCACTAGTAGATAGTTCCTCTTCAAAAAGTTCCCCAGAACTGTTTGGTCTGAAATCACCTAATGTCTCTGTGGGAGAGGGGCGGGTTATATGAGATTATTTTTCTTTCTGCTCCTTTTGGCTGATGAATTAAATCAACACATAATAAATAATAATAAATAAATAACAAAGGTAACATTCCCATAGCAAACAAGAATTATGTCTTTGTTTACTTTAAAAAACATTATGAATATTAATAGCAATTGTAGTTGATGTGCAAACACAGGAGAGGACATCATGGTCTGTTTTCATTGTCTGCTTTGTTAGATTAGAGAGATGGGGCTCAATCAGAATCAGAATCACCTTAATGTGACGTCAGTCTGTGCTCTCCATGTGCAAAAGTTGATGATAAACCATAAACAACAAGTAAACAAAGACTAATATGTGCAAACCTACACGAGACAACAGTGCGGTGGTGAGAAGTGCAAAGGATGAACATGGTAATAAATTATGTAGGCCTAATTAGGGAGAAGATGGATTAATAGATGATGATGATGATGATGAACAAATTAAAATAATAATAAGACGAAGATGACGTCACATCAAAGGAAATTAAAACATAATGAATATAGTAAAAGATAATATAGAAAAGCAAATGTGGTGAATGGTGTCTTTGTTTAGTATAAAAGCTGCACACATTCTGAATATTTAATAGCACTTGTAGTTGCAAACACAGGAGAGGACATTATGGTCTTTGTTAGATTAGAGAGACATCATTATTCAGAGAGTATTATCTGTAGTGACTCACACTGACTCTGCTGCTGTCCTGTGTTATTACACAGCAGTATTTGGGGTGGCGCGCCTGTCACCGTGTTTTTCTGTTCGGAGGGTTTGTGCTCAGAGATGGCCAGAGAGCCGTAGCGAACTGTGGGGCCTGCAGGCTGGGCATTTACCGTCAACCGTACCGTTAGAGAACCGCACAGACACGGAGAGTCACACGGAGAGGAGCGGGACGACAGAGGAGGTAAACACGGCTACTTGTCTGAATTAAACCGTCACTAAGTCTAACCCCAACCCAGTCTTTAAAAAAATCTCCACAAAACAAAACTGTTTTAACTCTGCTAGCTCAGTGATGGCGGACAGCTAGCAAAGCTGCTAAAGTAAATCAGTTAGCAAGCAGGTGTTATGTCGAATTATGCTACTCATCGAGATGTGCTATCAAGCGGCTCTGTGCAGTACAGGGAGCATTTTATTACTGGGGCAGCACGTCGAGGGAGAAATGCTTACTTTAAAATCTTAAAAAAGGGTTTTATTATAGAGTTTCCATAAAGTGTAAGTGGTGTTTAAAGTGAGTCTGCTTGACAGGGGATACGCTTGATCTGAAATCTTTATATAGAGTACCAAAATTGGCTCCCCATACTCTGTTATGCACATGAAGTGAGTAGGGATTTAAAATAAATGTAATTTGTTCTGGTAGCATTATTTTATACGGTTTACAGATAGCTTCTGTTGTCGTTTCGCACTATGGGGGCATACGCTGACAAGGCAGCACATCTCGCCATAACACCGGCTAGCAGGCAGCGGTCGGATAATAGCTAACTTAGCTAAATTTGTTGTACGTTAGCCCGCTAAAGTAGCCGTGTCTGCTGTGCCGCAAGTTGTACAGTTACAGATTTAACAAACACGTTAACTGTTTCAGGTGTGTGAGGGTGTTATCTGCTGGCTATGCCGGTGGATATGGAAGGATTGTCAGCTAGTGTTAAGATAGTTACGCAAACAAATATCAGTAAACAGAGATTGTTTTTCAGAGGCTAGCGGGCTAGTTATTGATAGCTAGCTGGCTGACTTTAGCTTTCCTATCCTCACAGAGAGATACAGACGTGATGAATCTGTAGGAAATATAAACTCACCTAACACGGGCGTTGTAGAGGAGATTACTTTACTTAATATAGTTATTGCGAATTAACACAAGGAAGTGTTTGCGCTAACAGCAGCATGACAGCAGATTATACAAAGTTAGTCCCAGTTTGTGAACAGATCAGAGTTTGTGTCTGATGGTCAAAATCAAATCAACAAGGTGTTAGTTAATGGTTAATAAACGGATAATAAAAATGTTTTTAATCCCATAATCCATCCTCCTGCTTGTTGAACTGTGATAATCTAAACGTACAAAAAGGAATGTGGTTGTTGTTGTTGTTGTTGTTACTGTTACCTGTAACTTTTAAAGGTGCGTTGACATTACCATGACATGACGTATGATTGTCTTTGCTGATGCACAACACCTGACTGTAGACACATGTAAAGACTGGCCTGACTTCGCACACAACACTATTTTATACAGATTTATTTCTACGTTTTGTTAGCCCCATCTACATCCTGTACACTATAGGGGTGTCATGATGTCACATTTTTAACCTTCTGTACAAAGGCAACAGACATACAAACCGCAGGCACTAAAAACTGGGAAAGTTGTTGTTTTCACGAGAACATGCACACACAATATGTTCTTGTGTGCACCAGAAAGTATCCTGTGAATATTAGAAGGTATTGCTTGTTTACAAGAAAATATTACGTGTGCATGTTCTTGTGGGCATGTAAAACTTTATGAAGAGCATTAGCTGCACACCAGAAACCTCCCTTAGGGGCTTTGTAGAATCCATCAAAAACTGCAGGCAAACTCCTGCACATTGTCTAAATTGCTCAAATATGTTTCATTAACATTTTGGTACTGGAACCTTGCAAACATATTTGGGCTATTAAGAAAATGTGCAGGAGTTTTCCTACAATTTCTGATAGATTCAGGGTGCACTCACACTAAGCAATCTGTACAGTGCCCAAGCACGCTTCAATAATAACTTTTCCTTTATTAATCCCGCAAGGGGAAATTCAGTTTTACACTCTGTTTAATGAACATGCTACACAAACATAGGCCGAAATACACACACATGCACTAACTAAGGTATAGTTCATGCACGAGCACAAGCACAGGCAAGAAACGTGGACAGCCTTCATCATCGAGTAATCAAGTGTTCTGTTGTTATCTGATAACATGACTCAAAATAAGACACAACGTCAGTAAAGTAGCTGTCATGTTCTCTGATGTGTGGAACCAGGCTCGACCATATGTCCCTTTTTTATTTTTTGAATCCACCTGTCTTGTAAACTAAGCTATGCTCATGTGTTTCATAACGACGTTTTGTGCAAGAGGTAACTGTGCTCAGGCCCGGTTAGTCCTGGAGCACTGTGAGTGCAGGCCTATAAAAAAAGTTGAAATATGAAATGGATAGAAGTAAGGAGAATCAGCACTTCAGCTGACAAACATTGCAAACTGGTGCGTCTCACCTGCCTGACATGGGAACACTTTTTAATACATCTTAATCACATTTCAGAAGTTGCTTCTTCATACTATACACCAGGGCTGTCGTGATCAAAAAACAAACAAACAATATTGACACCTGTTTCGATATCACAGATACAAAAACAGAAGTCCTAGGCACCTAATATTCTGTAATGTATTGTTTTTAATCACCAATGAGTTGCAGAGTAACTGGAGAACAGAAAACATGAAGCAACAGTTTAATGACGGGCACGGTGATTGTTGCGGTTGCGTGCAGACAGTCTATGGTCTATGTGTTCTTACACGTATTCTCCTGGAAAAGGCAGCAGTTTTTCAGGAGTTTCTGCAAGTGTGAAAGCCCTGATTTAGGGCTGTGAGGTGGACATGCGAACATCGTGGTCAGGAGAATATCCGGAGCATTGCTCCTGAAATTATTGAGATATATCCAGGAGTGCAGATGTGAAAACGGCTATACTGATTCACTGATGGAAATCCTATCGATGAAGTTGTCTTGTATTTCCCCTCTGTGGACAGGCAAAGAGACATGAACAAACATTGTTTGTGTTTCAGTGGCAGATGGAGGTTTTCTGTACCACCCTGGGTTTTGTATTTCAGGAGCAATAGTGCTTGTTTTAATGTTTCTCAGTTTTTAACCACAGCTCAGTTTGTCTCATTCTGTACATATACAAGTGCCTCATTAGAAGGTAAAGATGTCACTTGATCAGCAACTTTTCCTAGCTGGCTTTGACATAAACTTGTTTGTTCACACTCAATCTCTCAAACACACACACACACGCTCACTCACTTTGACCTTTGAAAAGCCAGGAAGCAGCTGTGGGGAAAGTGGGAGTTGTGGCCTGTCGCCACTGTGTGAAGCCAGTGTGTGAAGCCAGTGTGTGAAGCCAGTGTGTCATACCAGCATAGAGAAAGTCATCAGAATTAACAGCTCCTGTTGTTGTTGAGATCTGAAAGCCGGGTTAAACATTGTTATGCACTTAACCTTTAAACAGCGTGCTTTATTGTATGCAGGGGAATTAAACGCACAAATGCAGTTTTGCTCGGTCAAACAATGAAGGTGGAGCACATTTAGGGTCAGTGTACCGCAGTAATGAATCCTCACAGGGCTTAAATCTCTGCCAGGTCAACATTGAAGCTCCTGCTGCCCTGTGTAGTTATACATCTTTATTTGTTTGTTAAGATTTGTATTCAATTTCACCCAAAAGCCAAGACAACAAGAGAAGTCCAGGCTCAGTGATGACAGAGACTCTGTGTGACTTTGCCCCTTTTGTGGAGCTGTGGTGTCTGCTGAAGGGGAGTCCTAATGTAAGCTAACACCTCCCCTGACATCACGCTCGGTCCTGATGTGTTTCAGTGCAAACACTGTGTATGTGGTCCTGCGCGTCTATTCATTGAGGTGTGCTGGTTTTTGTGTGTTAACTAAGAGGGACTTTAATGGTCCTCGTATGATCCCCAGTATCTTAGGAATCTCGACTGCCTCTCCTTTGATTAGCGTTTTCATTCAAGACAAATCCATCACAAAATATAAAGTGCGTTGTGTAGCAGTAAGCAGGGTACTGGCTGTTTTGTAAGCAAATCCACCCGTACAGCAGCAATGCAGGATGTTCTTTCTACAGGCCAACCAGTACATCAAACAGTACAGGAAATCATAACACAGAGAACCAAGAAAAAGTGCTCAAACCTCAAACCTCAAACACAAGGTTGACTGTCTTTGCTCTTATAAACTCAGAGTTGCTCTTTTCCCCTTCAGCTTGTTGTCCTTTAAACATAGTCATTCCTATCTCGTAGACATGAGACAACTGTGGAACGATGCATACTGTAATATGTACTGCTTTATTACTACACAGAGTATTATTGTGTTTTATGGTTTGAACCTTTAAAGATAACTACCGGTAAGTGAATTATACTTTTTTACTTTTAAGACTGCCAAACCACTTCATTTTATTTTTTATTCTACTTCAAATAACTTTAATCTTTGTTGTTACTGATGAAGTTGTCAAAGTATTTGATCCTTTTGAGCCCTTTTGTTATCATATATTTTGTATAATACAATCCCTGTTATGAATGAGTTTCGTTACATGGACTTTAGTATCTCGGTTTTGATCGGGGTTTTTTAGGTTTCCCATTTTTGTAAACATCATGCCTCTATTTTGAGAAACCTGATTTTGCTACCTGGAGAACTCCGAAATTTAACGGGATACTGTGACAACTGTCGACAACCTGCTCAGATGCGTCCTAGGCCAAGTGACATATCAGCAAAACAAACATGGCTCGTAACATGTAAACACACTCATAGACTGTGTCAAAGAGAACCCAAGCTTTTAAAAAAACTTCAGTCAAATCGTTAACCAAAAGCTGGCGAGCACAAAAAGAGAACAAGCACTGTCAAAATTGCACAAATACATTGGCAACATTTCAACATTGCCAACGTATTTGTGCTGTTTAGACAGTGTGCAGGAGTTTGCCTTCATTTTTTTGTTGATGACCCGCTATGAAATGCTGAGGACTTCGCTGTTTGTTGCTGTGGTATCTAAAGAGGTACAAACTTAACCGGCCAGACTATTCACAGTTAAGATATCTGTTTGAGTTATTTACAGTTTTTAGTACAGCTGGTGAGTTTGAGGTGAGGACTGTTGAAGAATTTCTGTTGACGACATTAAGATCGTTTCTTGGCTGTATGAGGCAGTACATTTAAAATATGCACTTAATGGATACTATCTTTGGTTATGTATGACTAATGTGCTGACAGCGAGCGAATGTACAGAAGTCTTCCATGCATCAATTTGTTACATCTCGCCTGTGCACGCTGCGGTCTGTGGAGGCATTTCAGAGGAAGTTAAACCTTGCCATCTGCTTTGCATTATCAGACTGAATAAGGGAGTTAAAATATCTGGGGCTCTGGTGGGGTGCTTCTAGTATTTTGTACGTAATTCAAATACTACCAAGGTTGCATAAAATCGTGCTACTCGCTGCCCTTATTAGCCTGTTTGGTAAAAGAGCAGCGTTTCATTCATAAGGCTTCTCCGCATTGAATTATGCCCCAAGTTGTTCTAGTTATTTAAGAGTCCACATTACGGCCTATAGTATGTTTTATGACTGCAGCAGGGGTGTCCCAAGCTCATCTGTGAGAATAGTATTTACAGAATGAACCACATTCACAAATAGCTGCAAGACTCTTTAGAAAACCACCCAGGGAGAGCTGTGAGTACATTTAACTCTGGTTTTATATGATTGTGGATTTTTATTGTGTGAACAAAGACAAATATTATATCGGCATCCATCCAGACAAAAGAGGGGAAAACTTGATTTGTACTTGCTTAGTATGCAGCACACCTGACTTGTTAGTTGATTGTCACAATGCACAGGAGCTCCCGGAGGAAATCCAGGCGGTGCCTAAAAAAAAAAAAAAGTTTCCAGAGCCAGAAATTGATTGGAAAACATTCGGTTATTCACTGAGCTGCTGCTGTTATAAGGCATACCTGCAAACGTGAATGACTAGGGATGTTAGGATACCAGAATTTTAAACTTTAATACGATACACGTTCAATCAAACAATATCGATACCTGTTTGGATACCACACAGAGACAAAATAAAAGAGGTCTAAGTCACCCAGCTTTGGTTAATTTATTCACTCCTGCTGCACACTGTTAAACCGCACAGATACATCAGAAACATTGCAGATATTCATGACACAATTAGTTAATTGCCCCACCAGTTTCATAAGTCCTGCAGTAGAGCGTATTTCATGGAGCATATGAAACCTGTTGGCCCAGGTGTCAGTCATACTTTAAAAGCTGTGTCAGAGGGATTTAGGGTCAGTCTATTGCATGGCTTATAACTGTTTTCATTCTGCGTTTGTCAGGACGGTTGAGAGTGATGGCAGATGACCACTCCTGGACTCAGTCCCAGTTCCATCATTTATCCCTGTCACCTGCCTGTTTTATGGATGACTGCTAAACAGAGTCAACCTTTTCTCATTGTCAGGGTCTGTGGTTTGGCTCGGTGACTGAATTCATCCCTCCGACAGTACATCATCTCATTCCCCCAAGATTAGATATAAAAGGTTTTATGACATCATATTAAGCTTGTCAAGTGAAGAAGAATCAGCATCTGGTTTTTAGAAATGGTTATGTGATAGGGCTGTCACTTTTTATTTGAAAAATAATTGGGGTGGGGTTCACATTTTTAACTGTAATGAGCTGTTCAAATTAGAAAGGAAGTCTATCAGAGGATCATGCTTCCTGAAGTTCTCTACAGTTGTGACAAAAACAACGGGGCTCGATTCAGAGGATGCAAACTTAAACGAGGGAGACTTTTCCCCCTGCAGACAGCAGCCCACTGCATTGCTGGAGAAACTCAGGGTCACTACGAACCCGCAACTCTTCAATCTAGCTCGCAAATGTGTGTGTTCACTATGAACCTCTGCGCTCTGAACGGGTGTTCTCGTCAGCAGGTTATATTGTAGATTGTAGAAGAGATCTGCACTTGATCCTGATCAAGTTAATAGACGGTTAATAGAAAAAATAAGTTGGTCCTTTTCAGATTGTCAACAGGCAGTTTGTTTTAGGCTTATTATTGAAGTAAATTGTTTTTTGACTGTGCGGAGGAAGGCAGCGGGGTTGTGATGACATCCCCACTGAAGATAGATAATTTTTGACATTTATGTCGTCTGCTACTTTTCATATTCTTTCCAAGTTTCTCTTCCCTGCCCCGTTATTGATCAATACCCACATGTAGATACTCAAAACCTCCCAATATATTTAAAACTCCCAGCCTTTCTTTCGTCATGCAAATTGTTTCTATGATTTGCATATTGATAGATCTGTAATACGTTGATTGATGCGTGATTTGATCCCATTTTCCATCCTTGAGCTCTTGATCTTTGAGCCTGTACTAGACACAACTCTATCAGAAGAGGTTTTGATATTTAACAGCATTGATGTGTGTTTAAAAATTAGGTAAATTCAAACTCCTGCTCCGAGCTTTCCCTTTGAAATGTCTGATTAACTTCCGAACAGATCGCTGGTGAAGTCACTGGGTATTAAACTCTGAGAGCAGTAAGATAGCAGACTTAGCCCTGCCTGGCGCTGTTCTGCCGCCTGCCTTGTAGTCTTCCCACGGATCTGTTAATTCTGGCCCCGTCCCTATCTTCTTAATTGGGTTCCTCCTAAGCTGCTTAAAGGCTGCCTTGTCCAACTCGAGGTCTATGTTGGGTGACAAATCAGCCTGTGTGTCGACCTGCTGCTGCTCGGATCGTTAAATCATATCAGAAATGTTTCGGTCCTAATTGGAGCTGGGAAACGGTGGGAGGAGTGACTTCCTGAGCTGACAAAATTAACGAGCGCTTTACATATTCCGAATATGTCACTCGTCAAATAATGCCTCGAGATATTCTCTCACTAATGATTAAACTCAGAGTGACAAAAAAATGCAAAAAAACGGAAGGTGGCGGTACAACAGTATTCCCATGCTACTAGCCTCCATTTAACTTTTCAATATTCAGATTTCTTGGTCTGCAGCAGCTCAGTCTGTAGGGACCTGGGTTGGGAACTGGAGGGTCAGCGGTTCAAGTCCAAGTACGGAAATTGGTCTCGTAGCTGGAGAGGTGCCAGTTCACTTTCTGAGCACTGCTGAGGTGCCCTTGAGCAAGTCATCAAACTCCAGTCACCAGCTGTGGAGCGCTCGCTGTGGGCAGCCCCCTCACTCTGACATCTCACCATGAGTGTACGTCCTAGTGTTTTAGTCAGGACCGCACAAACCGAGACCAAGACATTATTGAGACCAGAGTGCTCTAAGACCGAGACAAGACCAAGACCATAAATATCCCTAAAAAAATCATCATCTTGTGTTTAGGCGGCGTGTCACTCACTTACCCCCAATTCACACAGAGACGGTCCGTCAGCGCCGCGCACTACGTTGTACTTAGCTGCCACTGTAGTCAATCATTGTGTTCACACAGGGCGCGCTGCGGTCCGTCTCTGGCGCGTGCTACCAACGGCACTGCGCTCTGCTCCGTTTTAAGTACGCAGCGAGTCTATTTTCAACGTAGTACGCTGCAGGCACACGTCAAGCTGGACAGAATATGACAGCCCAGACAGGAAGTCAGACAAGGAAACGCACAGAGCATCCGGTCAATTTCAAAATAAAACACAATATACGGACTCGAACATATTTTTCATCACTTTATCAACATGACGTCAAAACAGGAACCAAATGAACAACAATGCATCCTCAGAAAGACAAAGCAACATGTTGTTTGCATGTTTTTCTCTTAATTCCCGCGGGATCTTGTAGTTCTCCTGTGATGTGTCATGGGTGTGTTCCCCTGCGCTGACGTCCCAGAAACGGATCCAGTGTGAATGGGCACGAGCCGTCCGACTGAGCAAAACCGTGGCGCTGACGGACCGCTACGTGCACGGAGTATGTGTGAATTGGGGGTTAGACCCTCACACCGGGAAGGTTGCGTCCGTAACTGGGAGATAAAAATCAAACTACCAATGAATTGAAGTTGTTTTTTTTTTTTTTAGAAAGAGGCGTTTTCCTTCTAATCTCAGTAATGAAGCCGATGAGACAAGGTGGTCTTGAGACCAGACCAATTGCGAGTACTCCAACACTAGCATGTCCACAGGATCCGGTTTGTGCATGTGTGTGTGTATTTCAGCCTATGTGTGTGGCGTGTTCAACAACAGAGTGTAAAAGTATATCTTCTTCTTCTTCTGCTCAAGAGGCAGGAAGAAGCACCCTGCATAGTGCGTGCTTGCTCATGAAAGCAAGCAATCAAGAGGATCGGGGATATCACAAAGCTCCTCTGAAGTGGAACCAAGAAGAATGAATTTGTTTTGTTGTGTTTACAGTTCTGCAGCTCTGAAATGTAGCTGACCTTTACACGAGACAGCAGCGAAGTGAAATACAATCACTGCACAGTCTGAATGTAACTGAAAGGAAGACGTGTGTTCACTGTTGTGAATGGAGACGTCTGTTCTGAGGAACACAGAGTTTTGAAGATAAATGCAGATTTTAGCTTAATTTCATAACCTAAAGGTAAATCTAAGAGTGTGAATTAAAAGGTCTTGTATGACGGGAAACACGACAGGCTGGACAGATATGTGGCAGAGTTTATAAAGAAAGTTGTTTCAAATATATATGGTAATAAATCTGTGTTTTAAAAAAAAAAAATCAGAGGTCAGATGTTGTGCGAAGGTATTCCTCGGGCTCTTCTGAACTTTGTTCTAAAAGTGATCACATTTATGTTTCAGAGGAATCATGGGACACGGAGTGGGCTGAACCAGGAGGTCGAGCAGTGCACACCAATTGTGAGTATAAAAAGCTTTCCAGTATTCTTTCTATGTGAAATAATTACAACAAAAACTAGAATATCAATAAAAGGAGGGAAATATTAACAGCTTAAAGTTGGAAGAGCTTCAACCACAAAACATTCTGAAAATGCCAGAGCGGCCTCTAAGACGTCTTAGCTGTTTTTTTATTGGATCCTCTGAGAGTTCACCTGTTTCTGATTTGTGAGTTTATTGGCTTAAAGTATTATGTGTGTGGTTTTGTAGGTTTCCCACTGTGGTGTATGACATGGCCACGGCCTCAGCTCGAGCAGAGTCTAGCCATAACCACAGAGGAACGTCACAGCTCCATGCCGTTGGTGAGTCCACACACAGAAGGAAATGTTCTGTGGGGGTTAAAGGGTGGCCTCAGGGTCTACTGAAGACCCTGTTACTCCCCAATGCACTGGATCAGCAGGTAAAAAAGATTACTCCTCACAGGGATCATGACGTGTCACCTTATGTAATTTAAGTTGGAGGAGTCTGTTTCGGTTGGATTTGCTTTCTGAAGCTGGCTTCTTGTTTTTATAACGCTTATAGAAACTCACATGATCAGATCAATCAATCATTCAATTTTTATTTGTATAGCATCAACTCATAACAAGTGTTATCTCGAGACACTTTACAAAAAGCAGGTAAAATACTTTACTCAGATGTGACTTCAGATAAATACATACAGAGGACGATCGACTACTTCTGTTCCCCGTCTATTCTCTTATCCACACAGGCACACACACGGGCAGTACGCAAAAGACGCTCAATTAAGGCTACTCGCATTTTGAAAAGTTCTACTCGATGGTCTATTTTTACATGAGGGGATCCGCGCTTGAGGAGGCTTGATGATGACGTTTAGCACAACAACCATCATAAACTACGACTTCAGGACAGCATCAGCAGCTGCAGAAAAACACTGAAACGAAGGCACGAGAAACTTCAGTTTTGACATGAGCATTGCATTTCAACTGGTGCATCTATAGGAGGAACGTGCAGACTGATTCATTCTGCTCTCCCACAACGTGAACAAGCCCCCTCACATGAGGCTTTCCTGTTGTGATAACGGAGTCGCACGTTAGCAAGTCTGTACCCACAGGCTGCAAGTCCATGATGCCAACAAATCTGCAATTTGTGGAGACGGTTTCCTAAACGGTGTGCTTGGATTTGCAAACTATGGGCATGGATTTGCATCAGAAAGCTGTGCGCAGAGTTTGCAAATCTTTGCGGTCCGGACCTTTTAAATTTCCTTCCAGCATAACAATGTCTTCTCTCTTCTGCGTGAGCGCAGAAATTTATAGAATAAAGAAGAAAATAGGTCGTAAACAGGGTCCGAAATTAACTTTTTGACTCACTGGCCAAGGTGGCAGGTAGATGAAAAAATTGACCGGCCAAACATATTTTTTTACCGGCCAAAATAACAAATTTTGTTCTTGTGTCCTATACACATCTGTTACAGTACATTTAATTGAGAAGGCATTATGTTCTGTTTAATCAATAACAAATATAAGTCACAGATTCGATTATGTCATCAAATCAGGAAATTTGAGAAATTGTAAAAAAAAATATATTTGCTGGCCTTTATTTTTTATTTTTTGTATTATCTGTAGGCAGTACTTCCCAGACCCCCCCCCCCCAACAAGTTTTCTCCTGTTTTAGCTTTGACAATATTAGAAACTTAATATAATCAGCCTGCTCGTTAGTGGACGTGTGTATATCTCTGACTGCTCCTGCTGCACGTGATGGAAGAGAAAAGTGGAGCGTGCATTTAGCGTCCGCTAGGATATCTAAAGTGTAACGCAGCGCTACTTCACAGAGTCTGTGTGGAGATGTTGACAGACTTATGACGTTGCTATTGCTCAGTTAGCTGCAGACACGGTGACAGTGAACGCAGAAAAGTCGAAACCGACCATTTGACCGGATCACGTGTGTTCCCGACACGGTCCGTATGGATCAACTGTTTGCTGAAGCGTGCGTGCGTGCGTGCCTCAGCGTGCCCCGTGATACTCGCAGAGAGAGGAGCAGGGTAAAGTAGCTGCAGCTAGGCTACATCAAACGCGCTGAATACTTATAGCATAGTTTTTATGACTTTTTGATAAAACATTTACCCACCCTGTGGCGGATAGCCCTCTGAAAAGTACTCGCCAAACGGAAAATCTACCCGCATTTGGCGCTTGGCGGGTGTTAATTTCAGACCCTGGTCGTAAATATTCCTGGGTAGCCCACCTACCCAAGGATCATCCATGTTTAGGAAAACACTGAATCTGTGTCCGAGTGTACAATCTGAGTTGAGTGAGCGCGCTTGTAGGAGTGGGTGAAACTGTCCGAGGCGTCTGCCTTTCCACTATGACACACATGCATGAGTGGGCGCTTATGAAACATCGATGCTGTAGCAGTAATTAACGAGATGATCTCACAAGAATCACTGACAAAACACAAGTATCACTGGAAAGCGAAAAGTAAAATCATGATTTATGTGTTGTTTTTAATTTTGATCTTGTATTCGTGTATCCGGGCGAGCCAGCAAGTTATAAAGTTGAGCCCTGGTTCAATGCTCAGAAGGCTTTTATCTGCCATTTGCCCTGCATGGCCCCTGGTTTAGCTCAGAGAACACAAACAGAGCCATGTGCGGCGTATGTAAAGGATCAGTACATACACATTTTCAGGTGTTTTAGTATGATATATTGGATGACAGATATTTTTGAAATGCTGTAAACTTTTTTCACTCGTCTCATTGCTTCCTTCATGTTCCCTCTGCCAGTTTCATGTGCCAAAATCAAGAGGAAGAAGAGTCTGTTTGGGGCGGCCATCTATGTGGAGGTGACAGCGGAGGGGGAGTCACGCCGCACGGCGAAGTCTCACAGCTCCTCCAATCCGAAATGGGATGAGAGACTCACTCTGTAAGTGTGTGTGTGTGTGTGTGTGTGTGTGTGTGTGTGTGTGTGTGTGTGTGTGTGTGTGTCCTCTCTCTTCCTATTTTTTTATTTACTCTGTTTAAATCAACTTCTATGTACACAGTGTCCTTCAGAAATGAATGTAGGATTACTCATGAGTCCCACGTCTTTTTTTATTTGCAGAAGATAAAATGAGAGACAGGCTGTGAGGGTAGTATAAACATCTGTCTCCTAATACTCCCCCCTCAACAGAACGATGCTAGAGAGAGCCTCTGCTGATCTCCAGATGGTCTGAGCTTATATAAAACGCTGTTGATGAAGAGAAAAAGATGAAGCAACAATATGTTGGCTTTGGTGCAGGAATTTAGGGGCCTATTTCTGCCTGTATACGTTATGTAACAATCATAAGGCTCAAGGAAAATTTGTGTATTGTAGTAGAAAAAAGCCCTCAAGTGGCTCTTATAGAGAAGTCTAAGAAGAAGGGGAGCACAATGATGCACAAAGCTCTCAGTATCCGACCAGCAGACTCTTGCTGCTCTCTGGTTTCCAAATGGCTCTGCTAACTGCCAGAGAGATGTCATTGACAATGCTAATTATCTTAATTGGGTAATTACGGCTAATATCTCGGAATGGTGCCGTGGTTCTCATCTTGTGTTTGCAGCATGAATGTTCTGCGAGCTGCTGTGACTCCTTACGGCTTGGATCCTGGAAGGAAGTTGCATTATGTAAGGCGAGCACTTCAGTCGCTACGTCTGCAGCGAGGAAGAGTTACTGTCAGGAGATTTTAGGAGAGCGGCGGATGCTTACAAAAAGAGAGGCTCTAAGAATCAGAAATTAAATATGTTTTTGGTCAGTTTTTTTCTTTTTGAAGGGAAGCAGCTGCTGGAAGGAGGAAGTAAAGAATAGTGGATTTATTTTGTAGACTTTTTTTTTCCTTTGTAGGCTGTAGAACAACCAATATATCATATCTAGACCAATGACATCCCGATTACACCACATTATCTGGAACACGGTTAAGCCCTATTTCCAACATGCGGTCCGGTTTGGTTCGGGACAGATTAGTACAGTAAACCCTGACCTTGCTTGAGATTCTACAGCCAATCGTACCCTTACTTGGTAAGCGGAGCATAGCTGGATGGCGTTAGCTACATAATAGTGTGACATCATAGCAGCGCCACACAGTGTAGCCCGCCAAAAAATAAGAACGCACCACAGTAAACAAAGAGCAACAATGGAGGTTATCCAGCAGAGGTCTGCTCCTCAGAGCTCGTCCATGGGGCGGTGCTACTCGCTGACATTAGTCCCAAAAAACAAAAATACTGTAATCAGGGGTGCAAACTTGTCACCTTTCGGTGAAATTCGCCGTTTTGGATCCCAATTAGGTCATTTGTGTGATTCATTTAGATCTGCAATAAAAATATTTGGGGGGGGTAAATCTTCGACGCGAGCCGTCATGCTTCTTGCGGCCAGCGAGCACGGCCCCGCGAACATTAAGTCATTTCTGATTGCTCAACACGGCCTGAAGAAAGTACTTCTGGGCCCTGCAGCCAATCATTGCAACGTGGTCTGCACGAACTCGTCTGCGTCATTACAAAAATTTCGGAGGTGCGCGGCTGGGCGCTCAGACCCGCCACAGACCCTCTTCTCGCCGGCCGCGATTGTGCAATATTGCTGCGCCGACCGCAAGAAGCATGAAACCTGATTCAATGAGTCGCAATGTGCAGCACATGGCCAATTTACATAACGTTATTTTTCCGTGAAAACACTGTGGAAAGATTCGAAGTCTGGCTAGCAAGCCAGCCTTTCTGTTAAACATGCTGTCTGATCATATTTACTGTTTGGTAGTGTCGTGTCTTTAATAAATCCGGAAAATAGGCAGGGTCAGTTTTTGGCTGTGACCAACAAAGACATCAACAATTTCCTTAGATGGTGATCCCTAAGGTTTGTCGCCGGCATAATTGTGAGTATCACAGTTTTTTGTTGTTGCTGAAGTTGTTGCTGAAATTAAAGTGCAGCTTACTTTAATTTCTGTTTGTTACGGTTAGCGACGTTGTGTCCGACGGAGCTAACTGCTAACGGCGGGGGGGTAGCAACTCGGTTGCACCCGTGTTGTTTTGTTGACAGCACTTATCGTTTAAGGCTCACATTTTCGCATGGGTTAACTGTTACTACTGGCAGCACCTGTTGTTGGTGCCTACCCTTTTTTTCGGCGTGGAGGCGGCATTTGCGCTCCTACCCCCCATTAAGTTTTGCCTCATTGTCATTTAGTTGAAGCGCTTCCGCTTATAGTCAACTGTCTTTCTATTCTGTCATATACCCTTTGTCGGTGAAGGCAGTGTGTTCACCAGGTGTGTAGCAGCAGCTCTGTCTCCCCTAAAATCCCAGGGCATGAAGGTCCTCCCCTATCTGGACGACTGGCTGGTGTGTGCGCCGTCGCAGTCACAGGTAGCCCGGGACACCGCAGCCCTCCTTTCCCATGTGGCCCAGTTGGGCCTCAGGGTGAACTCCGAGAAGAGCTGCCTTACTCCTTCCCAGACCATCACCTTTCTCGGTGTGGATCTGGACACTGCTTGTATGAAGGCTTATCCATCGCGTCGGCGGGTGGACAGCATCCTGGGCTTTCCTGCCCCCTCTTCTGTGGGGGCAAGAAGCTGCCTTATGTCAAATTCCTTCAGCTCTTGGGGAAGCTGACGTCAGCCGAAATCGTGGTGCCTTTAGGTTTGCTGTCGCTACGTCCCCTCCAAAGGTGGCTCAACAGCTTCCATCTGGATGCAAAGTGGCACAGGCACAGGACACTCACAGTGTCTCAGAGGTGCCTCATTGCACTGGCCCCATGGAGGAAGAGGTCTTTCATGCTGAGTGGCATGACCAGGGGCTCGATTCTGGCCCGTCGCGAGACTGTCACGACCGATGCCTCCCTCTCAGGGTGGGGCGTGGTGTGGCAACACCAAACTGCTCAGGGGTAGTGGTCTGCTCAGGCCTGCACAGACCACATCAACGTTTTAGAACTACGGGCTGTGCACCTGGCTCTGAGGCATTTTATGCCATGCCTCAGAGGGAAGCATTTCCTAGTGCGTTTGGACAACATCCCAGCGGTTTCTAAATCATCAGGGGGGCACCAGGTCCGCAGGGTTGCTGTGCATGGCCCGGGACCTGTTGAATTGTGCAGCCCCCCGCCTGGCCAGTCTGAGGGCTGTGTACCTACCCGGAGAAAGAAACCAGGTGGCAGATTTCCTGTCTCGGGGCGAGCCTTCTCCGGAGGAGTGGATGTTACATCCGGAGGTGGTGCTCAGCATCTGGGACCACTTCGGCAGGGCAACAGTGGACCTCTTTGCTTCAGAGGCCACAACTCAGTGCCCCCTCTGGTTCTCCCGCACAGAGGTAAACAGCCCACTAGGTCAGGACGCCCTGGCTCACGACTGGCCAGGGGGTCCCCTCTATGCTTTCCCCCCGCTTACGTTGATACAGGCGGTGCTTCAGAGGGTTCTCCTCCTTTTGGCCGGGGAGAACGTGGTTTCCCCTACTGTGCAGATTTTGTCACAGCCAACCATGGCGCCTCCCAGACAGGATGGACCTCCTGTCACAGATCCTGGAGTCCTGGAGTTCTTGCAGTCACTCTTAGATGCTGGCCGCTCCCTCTCTACCGTGAGGGTTTATGTAGCTGCCATTTCCTCTCAACATGTTCGGGTAGACAACAACACTGTTGGGTGCCACAGGTTGGTTTCCCTCTTTTTGAGGGGGGCTATGAGGCTTCGTCCACCACAAGCTCAGAGAGCTCCGGCTTGGGACCTGCATCTTGTGCTTGACAATCTGTGTTTGCCTCCCTTCGAGCCCCTTGCGGAGGCAGATCTGCATTGGTTATCAGCTTTCCTCCTTGCCATGACCACAGCAAAGTGAGTGGGGGAGCTCCACACTTTGTCTGTTGATCCTGCGTGTCTGAGGTGGAGTCCAGATGACTCAGGGGCCACCTTGTGGCCGAGGGCCACGTTTCTGCCTAAGGTTCTTTCAAGATCAAAACTTGATCAGCCGATACTGCTGGCATGGTTCAACCCCCCACAAGGTGAAGATGACAGCCGGTCGGCACTGCTCTGCCCAGTGCGGGCCTTACGAGCATATGTCAACTGTATTACCGGTATGCGACGATCAGACCAGTTATTTCTGTGTCATGGTGGTCCTAAGAGAGGCTGTGCTCTCTTGAAGCAGCGGTTGTCCCACTGGGTTGTGGATGTGATCAACCAGGCATATCAGGCAGCCGGTCGGCCTTTGCCCCCTGGAGTGCGGTGCCATTCCACGAGGGGTGTCTCCACAGCCCTGAGAGGGGTGCCCCTGGAGGACATTTGTGCCGCGGCCTCTTGAGCATCGCCGAGCACCTTCACGAGGTTCTGGTCCTGTTATGAGATTCATCAGCTTCAATGCAATGAGGTTGGTATGTGGGGATTCCTCGTGACTATGTTGGTATGAGCCATCCAGTGCTTAAAGCACCGCCTATGGCGGTCAGGAAGGATGAAATAGAACGAAAGTTACGTATGTAAATATGGTTCTATGAATCCTGGATGACCGCCAGAGCTTCTGGTCACTCGGAATCATTGTGTCTCACGAGAAGATTCTGAAGGAACAGATCCTCTGATGACACCGGAAGATATAGACCTGTCGGGGTCATCAGGGGTCACGTGACTTTGTTGGTATAGCTACTCGACCTGCGCATGCGCGATATGGTATCATTCAGTGCTTAAAGCACTGCCTCTGGCGGTCATCCAGGATTCATAGAACCGTAGTTACATACGTAACTTTCGTTTGTCTTTCTTCAGAGACTGGACCCAGGAGACCAACAAATTGAGTACTGAAAGCTTTATCCATCTTTCTCAGAATCCAAAGCAGTGAGCTGCCTGCAGACGACTGACCAAGACAAAGAATATTACACAATATATACTTATTTTGCTGAGGGTGTGGAGATGGTATCCGCCTCCTCCACTGGGCTTGATAGCTCTAACTATGTCCCACATGGGCTTTATAGATCCATCTATGTCCCACATGGCCTGATAGCTCTAACTATGTCCCACATGGGCTTCATAGCTCCTGCCATGCCCCACGTGGGCTTCACAGCCCCAGCCATGTCCCATACATTGCCACATGCTATTTTCAGAAGTTAGCAGTCAAAAAAACCCTACTGCAATGTCATGTCTTCTTGATAAATGGGGTAAATATCTGGCCAACCATCTTGTGACCGACATCGACACACCAACATAGCATGTGTGTCAGGTTTTTTTGGAATGATGGTCCTTTTTCTTGTATTTGTCCCTCCTTCACCTCTCATAAATGTCAGGTTGGCCTAAGATTTATTACTTAATTACCCCAAAAGCGAGCTCGTATGAAACTTGAGACCTCATTCTTTGACCATGCAAAATTTCATCTAAACATTGACTTATTTTCACTCTATCCTTGATGACTTTCACTTTGTAGGCTCAGTTTGAATTAATGTACACATGTGCCCTTCTGCATTTCATCCTTAGTTGATTATGTCATGTTTATAATATGCAACCCTCACACTATTGTTATTTATTTATCTAATTTGCATAATATGTGTATTTTATTTCATTATTATACTGAAATACTATTATGATTATTCATGACCACACCAAATGTTGATTATAAGGAATATAAATACATGCCTTCAGGTGGCATACTGTAAAGATGTTGAGAGAAATGTGTGCTAGCTTGAAGGTAAGCCGGCATGCCCCCGGACCTCCCTAGGGAGTTTGGATCCATGTCACCTTTTTCCATCCGTGATGAGTTTGCACCCCTGACTGTAATACGTGGCATGTTTTGTGTTTATACTTTATTTCTGCTGTTGCACGGGAAGTAGTTCGACCAATCCACTGACTGCAGTGTGTCTAATGCCACTATTTAGGGTCGGATCAGTACGCCTCTCACCCCAACAGAAGGGTAGCAAAAAAAGTAGGAGTTCTGATCGGTTATTTTGGTACCATTCCCAGCTTCTGACAGTGGAAACGCCAATAAATGCCTACTGTACAGAACTGAACCAGACCTGAGAGTTAAATTCCTGTAACCTTGGAGCCTGTAGATGTCTCTGTTTTGATACTAGTTTGGCTCCCTGACCGTAAAGCTGCCGCATGCGAGAAAGAGCAGCAGTGGTAATAATACAGAGTTAGGGGAGCTAGTGTGTGCGGCTAATAAACACAGTCTAAAGAATTAATGAAAACATTTGCAGCTCCGCACAGACGTGAAAGAAGGAGTGAGATTTTTCGCATCATCTGCACACTTTTTTGTGTCTTGTTGTGTCCCATCAGATTGCAGCTACACAGCCAAGACACAGACAGACGGTTCAAATTCACACATTACAAATACTGATGTTTGTGTAGTACTTTTGGAGTTTTGTTAAGATGCAGAAGTTACATTAGTGTCTGTTACAGACTGACGCACGAGACCCGATCACTACGTTTACATTTAGTCCTGAACTGAGGATTGTTTGCTGTGAGCTCCTGCACAATGACCGACACACAGAAGTGTCCCAAACACAACATGAGTAAAAAACCTGGAAGTACAGACTATCCCCTGTATTCTTGTCGAGTACTGCCATGATATGTATTGTATCGTGAGATCCACGCCCTACTAGATATTAGGAAGAGGAATAAAGATATTATGCCGATCTATTCTTCAGAAAATCTTTTTTTTTCACTCTGTCTGTTGCCTGATATGCATTTTTAAATAATTAATTATGTTGTCTGTGTGTGTCCTCTGTCCTTGCAGGAATGTAACCTCGCACTCACAGGTGGATTTCAAAGTATGGAGTCACCACACACTGAAGGCCGACGCTCTGCTGGGAAAAGCTACGCTGGACCTCACTGAAGCCTTGGAGCAGCATGACAGAAAATGTAAGACTAACCTACATCAAAACCCAAAAGTCTGATAATTTAGATAATGTAGGTGTATGTGGTAAACAGTGACAGACAGAAGGTTCTCATTTCCCAAACTACAGATCAGTAAGTTATTTCTTCTCTAATGACTTGAAGTAGTTTGCTGTTGGATTTTCTATATGTCACTCTGTTGTAATGTGTCCTCTCTCACCCTCCCTAGTGGAGAATGTGAAGGAGGTGCTGAAGCTTAGCGTGGAGCAGAAAGGAGTCGCAGTCCCTACAGGAGAGCTGACTGTTCACCTGAATGGCCTGACGGTCTCTGAACAGGAGGATCTGGCTCCTCTTACCAATGGAAACGCAGCAAACGGCACCAGTGAGCCAGTGTTTACACGTTAAAGTATAGACGGGTTGAAATGTTTAATTACCATGTGTAGTGGAGAATGACAATCTACAAGGAGGCACAAATACGAGCTACTATAAAAAAAGGAAGGCGCTATAAATACTCTGCTTATACCATCTTCGTCCAATGATGCATCTTTTATATTCAAATGAATATTCACCTTTGCACAGTGGGTTAATATTATTTTCTCCAATCTTTCCCAGAAGTGCAACAGAATGGCGATGCAATCCATGAAAATGGAGAATCTTCTTCCTCTTCCTCAAGGGCGGCAAACAGGTAAGCTAAGAAACTAATCAGATATTTTGAGCCTTTCTAAATTTGCTCTACTTATTTCCTGAAGGTGAAGACTCACTTAAAGACAGGGTTGGTCATTTCCTCCAGATCCACTTTTTAAGATTTTGGTTGAGATTGTCTTTAGGTCCTGACAGAAATTAATAACTCATGTTCTCTGAAAAAGGAACAAAGAAAATCCATCATCTGTAGCAGTTGTAAGTCTGTAAAAACTTCCACCAATGTCTGCCACGAGGTACCAATCTGATGAACCAATCAGACGCCTCCCTGTCTCCCTGCTCGCTCTCTACCTCTTGCGTGCTCTAGCTCACACTCAAAGAGCGTCACCGATAACTTTAGGAGTTTATACTGTGAGTTTACTTACCGCTGAATGAGACCTGAGACGACGTAGTTTCTACACAATGTAAGAGATGAGCTGAGGTCCACTTCTGGAGCAACGGAGCTCGTGCATGTAAGTGAGGGGCGTAAGTGAGATAAATCTGATTTAGACCCTTTAATATTTGTTAATGTGCCACACACTCTTGGTACTGCATGAAGTAGGAAGAGGGTCGCTGTTGGCCTCTCAGAATTAACAAAAGCATCATCAGTGAGCAGGATGGACACAGCCTGCGAGCGGTTGCCATAGTTGCTTTTTTATTTTTCTGCTCCTTGGACGGATTTGCAAACCAACTGTGTTCACACTGCCCCCTGCTGTACTTAAGTGTCCTCGGTTCTGAACAATGTTACTAATGTGAATGCAGACCAGCGGGGGAGAGGGGAGTGCTCGGGCACGGTATGAAAACTGTGCCTAATGTGAAAACGCCCTCAGATTGTTCACTGTGCAGAGGACAGATGAAGAAGCATGCAGGTTTGCACACTGCCAAATGCAAATATATGTTGTACATTTATTTGGTACTTTTGGCTTACTGCTATCGACATTTATTAGGACATATTTTTCTCTAGCTTAATAAATCATCATCATAAGTGTGGCTATTGAAACGCAGCCTGTCTGCTTCACTTCTCCTAAAATGGTCGTTGGCCGGGTTAGAGTGACTCCATCAAGTCATGAGCATGCTTATTCTCAAGTGGAGGAATGCTAACAGGCTGCAAAGAGATGTGTGTTTGCAGGATACTCATAAGTTTCCAGGGAGAAGACATGAGGACATATTTCACATGGCTAATGATACTCTTCAGAGTTAATCCGTTACATGCTGTTGTCTTTCTTGCACCAGTTAAAAAGGCTTGTGATTTTTATTTCTTCCTGAAAACAGCTTATTGTCTCGTCTGTCAGTGTTCTCTCCTCCCTTCGTCCTGTCTCCTACTCCTACTCCCGCTTTGCGTGCTGCCCCACTGGTGCCAATCCTGATTATCTGTCACCCCGTAAAAGTGCCCTTCAGTCAGGCTAACAGGGTTTTTATTGGAAAGCCACAGAGGAGGCACGTCTGCTCGTCGGCTCGACAGACGGGAGGCTGGTGGGGGGGTTGGGAGGGTTGTGGCCGCCTGGCTCCGTCTCTGCATTGCAGTTGCTGAGAGGACTGCAACACACAAACAGGAGTGTTTTGAAAGCGTGGAGGAGTTCCCTCCCTGGGAGTTCCCGAAACATTAAACTAATCAGTACGACACGAAAGGAGCTTAATGGTATATATAATTTCCCCTGTTGTTGTTATCCAAAGGATGAAACCTTTAACAAGACAACTAAAATAACACATACACACATTTATTTCTGTTTGATTAACACATGAAGACAACGAGGCTGCACACAGTTTATATGAAAAGTAAGAGTACCGTAACGCGAGCTCCGCCTTAATCACGTCTTTTACATTTATATTTGGAAGTTTGAGCCAAAGGCAGCTGGACTTGGTTGAAGATCTTGAGGACATTTCACCTCTCATTGTCCGAAAGGCTTCTTCAGTTCTAAAATAACTGGTGGACGGAGCTACAAATGTAAGCCTCTTTGGCTCAATAGCATGCTAATGATCAAGGATGACTCATATGAGAGTCGTTAGCTTAGTTTCGCCGGTAGTCGTCTGTGAGTTGTTGGAGTCACATTTGAAACGAATGTGGTTGTTGTAGTCGACTAACTTCTTGGCTGTCCTTTCGTACCATCACACCAGTTGAAGGGTATCCTTCCCAACATGTGCAGCAAGATGATTGATTCTGCGACGGCGTAATATTCTTTTCCCAGTCTGCAAGTTTTTCAGAAAAGCGCTGTTGACGTCCCCAGGGCTCTTTTCCAAATGTATGGTCGCACAGTCTGAGCTTTTCTGCCTGGAAAAAGTGGTCACGGGGCCTTAAATGAACCAATGGGAAAAACTGTCCTCAAATATAAGACATCTGTTTTTGGCTTCCTCGTGTATTTGAAACATTATCTTGGCACGTACACAGCTACAGCTCACCATTTTCTTATATCAGTGTCCACTCATCATAATATTACAGATCATCTTTAGGTTGAATAAAAGTATGTTCACTATCAAACACAGCCAGAGACCCTGCGTGGGTTTGTGTTCAGACTGATAATAGTTCTCTAATAAAGCTCCTTCATTTGGTTTCAGGTCTTAAACATTTCTAAATAACTGAAAGAGTAATTTCTGTCTGAACATCCAAACTGAAAGGCATTAAGACATTTTATTTATTAAGACTTTAACTGTGAGAAAACTTGTGAAACTGCCCGAGCAGAATCTTTTCTGTCCGACTGACGGAGCTGGAATCAAGAAAAACAGATACTTCCATCAGATTCCAGTCAAATGTTTCCCCTTAACACGAGTAAAAAAGAACATTTAATACAACAAACATCGTTCTGGAGGAAAGTCAAACTTGGATCACATTAAGCTGCAACATCCAGAAACCTGCTGTGACAGCTGTTAAAGTGCTGCATGTGAAAGTGTACATATCAGGAAAAATGTCCTCTGCTAATTCTCACGCCCAGTATTCTTGTGTTGCAATGAAAAGCGAGAAAGATCGACGGTGTGGAGGCTTTCCAGAGTAGTTAAATCCTTCTTTGAAAGGGTTTTGAAAAGCTGTGCAGGGTCTTTGTTGGCGTATGATTAGCCTTGAAATTTGAACATTAAATTGAGAATGTGACCTCAGCCTCGATCTCGCGGCTCCTTTTCAAAATTTGCCTCGTCTCGTAGCGAATGAGTCAGACAAATTTAGCTGCTACTCGGTGAACTCTGCCATTCTTCTTTTTGTCCTTCATGGTTTCACATCACTTTCACGCTCACGTTTCTCACGTCATCTTCTCTGCCGTCACATATCTTCTTTAATCTATCAGCCCTACTTCCCTTAGTTTATTTATTTCTACGGGTATATCTTTATTTCCTGCCTTATTTGCCTCTTTTCAATCATTATTTGTAGAGCGCCAATTCGTAACAAATGTTATCTCAAGGCGCTTTGCAAAAGAGCAGGTTAAAGACCTTACTCATTGTTAAGTTACTAAAGAAAAATAGGATAATATTCAGGACGGATTTCTCCTTTTATATTCCTCGCGTTCCTGTTATCCACACTTCCTCCCTGCTGAGGTGGAGGTCGGAGCAGGCCGTACATGAATGAGGACGGCGGTGGTTATGTGGACATCCGACAGGATGTTTTACAGCCTAGTCTAAAAACTCCACATTGACTTTCTAAGTGTTGAATTTTGCTCAAACTGTTCAAGGTTGTCTTTATTATCCCTGCGAGAGGGCAATTTGTTTTGCAGTCAGGAGTAAAACACATACATACATACATACAGCCCGCAATCAGCACACAACATAAAATGGACAATAAATAAATACAGTTGATAAGAAACAGATGGAAACAGAGGCAACACAGTTAGTGGTATATAAAAGTGATGGCAGCAGGAACAAATGAGTTTCTCATCCTCTTTGTCCTGTTTGTGATCCCACTCACAGAAATTGTTAAATCAGAATCTGTGTTTCAAATTTTTCCCTGCATCGTACTTTAATACGACATCATCAAAGTCTGATTCACCTATAGATACTTAAACATCAATATAAGTTTCAAATAATATGGATGAACCACAAATACTGGAAGGATTGAAACACTGATGTTTAAATGTCCTGCCGTTGCTTTCTTTGCAGAGTGGCTTAAGTTTGTTAAGGGCCAAAATATTATATAAATATTTATCTGAGCAGATATAACGGCCTCATCCGAGCTTCATCAGGAGGTCAACATCTTCTCTATAGACCTGTTTCTGCATTATTGTGTGTTGCACAAATATTGTGTTTGATCCTTGCATACTATTTAAAACACCACTGTGGCTCAGTGGTAGTCGGTCGTCTCTCAATCGGAAGGTTGGTGGAAGATTGGATCTCCAACTCCTGCAGCAACATGTCTGATGTGTCCTTGAGCAAGACACTTAACCCCAAGTTGCTCCTGCTGCTTCGTCCACAGCAGTGTGTGAATGTGTATGAATGGATGAGTTAATACTGATGGACTCTTTACTCAGCAGCCTCTACCATTAGTCCATCAGTGTGTGAATGTGTAGGTGTGACCTGTGGTGTAAAAGTGCTTTGAGTAGTCAGAAGACTAGAAAAGAAATAGAAAAGCTCAAGTCTATTCACCATTCATCACCAAAGTTGCAAAGAAGCTAAAATAGCAAGGCCGTGGTAGACGACGGTTGACCTAAAGGTGACTGTTTGTCGATGGGGTCTGGTGGCCTTCAACAGAGCGTTGTAACAGCTGTTAGTGGTTTTAGTAAAGTAACAACTATGATGAATTTATCCTGAGAAGTCAAATGAACTTTAACTGTGTCTGCACTTGTTGCTTTTTCTTCTCACTGCTGGCTAACAACCTTCCTCCTGCCAACATACAAAGGCTGGACATGAGTCATATGGCAGATTTTGTGACGTCCTGAGTGTGTGCCGGTCTGTGGCACTGACTGAACTCTGCCGGGATACAAAAGGCCCTCTTCAGCCGTGTCTGTTGCGTCACCACGCCGTCCCTTTATGTCTCGTTTTACCCTCCGAGACAATAGTCTCAATGTCACACAAGTTGGAGTCTGTCATCTGACGTCCGCACACATTCAGTGACACACATTCAGTGACACACATTCAGTGACACACATTCAGTGACACACATTCAGCTTAACCCAAGTAACCTCCGTGAATCAAATCTATAAGCCTGGAAGAAAAAGATTAGTTTTTTGTTCTTGTTTTCTAAATTAAATCCTTTTCCCTGTGTGTGTTTTCCTCCTGCAGCTCAGTGAATGGTACAGACCCCGGCCTGAGGTCAGGTTCCTGCTCGGCCTCCAACGGTCTGGACGCTCAGATGCCTTCAAGCTCCTGCAGCCCCACCCTGAGTCATGTGGTCAACGGAGACGCCACGCCCAACTCCACCCCAGTGCACCAACCGTCAGACAGCGACACAGAGAGCAGGACAGGTGAGCTCCATCTCCAGTTTGCAATAATTCTTGTGTTTGCAGCCTTTTCAACGCAACGAAATGCTGCAGCTTGCATGTTTTTTTCCCCCAGTAGTTGCCACAATTCTTTATGAATGGCCGTGTTTTAAGAATTCACAGCTGAACTGTATGTATGGACCAAAAAATAGTGAGGAAGTTTGACGATTTAGGACTCTTTAGAAAAAGAAGAAAGAATAATGCACATTTTTTACCCAGCAGCCTCAAAGGTGCTCATGCATCTCTCCAGCAGGTTTCTCTGCCTGCGCTGGTCTCCGGCCACTTAAAGTTCTTTCATGGTTCACTCGGCCCCAGTGAACAGAAGAGAAGATCAGTAGATTAATTTTCATTAAGTGAGGCCTGCAATCTCTGCTGCTGTCAGCACCTCTGTCGGAAAAAAAACTCCCCGGAGAGAAAAAGAGAGAGAAAAGGAGAGCAGACTGCAGTATTCTGTAGAGGATCGGCACATCGACTGCACTGAGCCGAGGCTGGAAGACAAAACTTTAACTCTTTACCAGTCACAGGACTCACTTTAGTATAATAAATAATTCCAGATATCTATTAAGGAGTTTATGTAAAATAACTCTGGTAGCCAAAACTAACATGTTACATTGTTGTGTTTGTGTTGCTATCACATGAAACAGTGACAGTAAACAGCTCGACTTTTCCATCTGCGCAGTGAAGTCAACAATACTTCCAGGTAATTCCTTAGATGTTTTAGTGCTGTGAGAACCAGCTCTGATTCCAAAATGATCTGATGGTTTGTAAAACGTTCAACTGGCTACACACTAATGATTTAACCTATTTTTAAAATGTGGGAGACCTCAGACATGAGGACAGTTTCAGCCGATCTTAAACATTATAATCGTCTGAAACACTGCAGTGTTCCCACAGAATTACGCAAAACCTGGGAGGTGGCTGGGGTAGGGGCAGGGGGGTCAACTTTTTTTTATTTTACTCCTATCTTAGGGTATATTTTAATATTAGGTTTGTATCTATATCAAATGTGTTTTGTCCCTCAAAGAGGGATGAACAGACAGTGGACCTTCTCTCTCTCTCTCTCTCTCACTCTCTGTAGCTGATGTGATTCTGTTCTCTTGGTTTCGCTGCGTCTTATCTCTGCAGGAGTCAAGAGGGAATTTGTTTTAAATCTTGTTGTGTTGCACGGAGCTGCCGAGGGCTCAGGTACAGTTTAAATTCTGTGCGCTCAGTGAGCCCGATCCTCGCCCGATCTTGCACTCTGTCCCCCTCCCCTCTCTGTCTCTTGTGCGTACCACAATTTTATGAATAAATAAAAAATAAATCATGTCAGAAATATACTTGAGCAGCCTTAAATACCCGCCCAGGTATCGTCTATGTGTGGGAAACACTGCACTAGGCCAGGGGTTCCAAACGTGGGGGTCGCAAGACACTGAGAGGGGGTCTTTAAATTCCTTAAAATGTAAGTTGAAAAGACTGCAACAATGTAGGTGTATTTTGCTCTTTGTAAATACAAATGTACATGGACACATAATTATTATCAGGCTGCTGTGTTCTTCGGTGATATTCTAGTGCAAGTGTTTTGATTAATGCATGCGGCTGTGCACAACGTATGAGGCTTTAGCTCTTTAATGGGCCAGTAGGGGTCCCCAGTTCTTGGCACTCTTATTTTGGGGATTGCGCCTGCACTGGATGATTCAGCTAGACTGAGAGACCCCCCCCCATGCCACAATGATTTCACAGTGTGGGAACATGGGATCTTTAAATCATGTGTAGCCGAAAGGATAAAAAAAACAAAATTTATACTTGCCCGTTTAAAGTGTTTAAAATCTTCTCCTGACACTTGTCTGATGTCCAGTTATGAATGTTGTTTAGTTGTTGCATGAAGCATCATCATCATGTTTCTCTCTCAGCAGTAAACGGGGAATCCTGTGATGCTTCTCTCGAGATGTCATCTGCCACCACAGGTGATGTGCCGCCCCCTGCAGACAACCAAGAGGACTGCAATCAAGATTCCACCGTGCCAGACTCTGACACAGCAACAGACAGCACATCTCCACCCGCTCCCTCCTCCACACAGGCTCCAGCCTCCTCCACCTCTGCTGCTAAACCCTCTGATGGCACTGCTGCGCCTTCTGCTGCTGCTGCCGCCGCCGCTTCGTCCTCCTCCTCATCATCACAGGGGGCCACCGCCGTCACAACCTCCTCTTCAGCGTCCTCCCCCTCCCCAGCTCCGGGTGAAACTAATGCTTCAGCAGGTGGAGGAGGGAGCGGTAACAGCAGTGCAACTACAACTACAGACGGGGCCAAACCCAGACAGCAGGTCCCCAACTCAGGGGCCCCAGATCCTCTTCCTCCAGGGTAAAAAAACACACCTGCACCTGCCCATGTTTTTCACTCACACTCTATTTAAAGCTAATATGACATTACGAGATATTGTTTGTATTTTTAAAAGTAAAGTTGTTATTGACATAAATGTAGAGAATCTTATTCATGTCCTCTTTTCACAGCTTTATTGAGATTTTTTTTTTCATATTTAAAATGTCCTTTTTGTGTGTTGAAGGTGGGAGCAGAGAAAAGACCCACATGGGCGAACGTACTACGTTGACCACAACACCAGGACTACAACCTGGGAGAGACCACAGCCACTACCACCAGGGTGAGGCTCCATGATTTGTCTCTTAGGGCGCACTCTCTCTTGCAAAGTTGTCCTGTACTGTGCTTAAGCACGATTACAAACTGGACCACTTTATGGAAACGTGGACTTGTATAGCAAATGATCTAACCTGTATTTGATTAAGGACCACGTATGAAAGTGGACTAAATGGGTGATTCTCATGAAATCTTGGTTTCATAGAGTTACAACATGAAATCTTTAAAAGACTAGATTAAACAAATTTCTTTTTTAGGTATTAATATCAAGGTCTTAAGTGTTTGTGGGCACAAATTATAAAATATTTACTGACAATTTAGCACATTTTAGAACATATTTTCCAAAACAAGTCCATAAAAATCTCATTACCGCAATGGTCTCAAAACATCAAGATCATTAGAAATAAGAATACATTTTCAAATTGTTTAAAACTGATTATTAACAGTCATGCAAAGTTACTTGAGACTCTGAATTATATATATAATTAAATTAACATTTTTATTTGATTTAGACTGATTTCTCTCATTACTGCAACACCTTCCACAATCTGCAACCTAAAATATTTGATATTTCAATGAAACCTGTAGGTATTTTCAAAATGATGTGATAAACCTGAAAGGCATAATGTATATACTATGCACATACATTTTAAAGCTATTACTATTATTATACTCATTAAATTGACATTAAATCGACACCTGTTGCGGTAATGATGCATGGGTTTTGGAAATGAGGTTGAAGATTTCGGTAATGATAATTAAGTATACTATAAGTAAATACTAAGACTGAGGTATGGTTAAAACCATTTTATAATTTACCGGTAATAAATTGGATTCAAGTTTAATCAATTACATAACATACATGGGCAAAATACATTACGCAAAAATTAATGCATCAATACTTTTTTTATTTTTTTATTCATCCTTTATTTTAGCAGGGAGGACCCACTGAGGCCGAGGTCTCTTTTCCAGGGGTGCCCTGCAGCAATACAAAATTAGAAACAGCACAAATTTAAATATATTAACAGTAAACAATAATAGCATCTAGACACTGAAACACATATTTACACATGTAAACCATGTCCATTTTAAATTAATTCACATTGTGAAACAGTTGCAATTTCCTTCCTGAGGTAGTTTGGGCACTAGGTCTTTAAACACGCTGTATGAAACAAGAGAGGGCAACTTAGCTATCCTCTGAAGGTCATTCCATATGATGGGTGCAGCAACACTAAAGGCAGTCTTTCCCCATTCAGTTCTAAACCTTGGTGTTTTCAAAGTTATCCAGTTTTGAGACTTAGTCGAACGGCTCATATGTTTATGGACAGGAGAGTAGTATGTAACTCGGGCTGTTCAGTCATAAAAAGATCTGAGTCTCATACGAGTGACTGTAGTCTTTGCAGTCTGCCTCGTTCCTCTGCTGTGTGTGTTTTATTATTGTACCTTTCTTCTCCTTTCGTCTTCCAGTTGGGAGCGCCGTGTGGACGACCGGGGTCGGATCTATTACGTAGACCACAACACCCGGACCACCACGTGGCAGCGACCCACCATGGAGTCGGTCCGAAACTTTGAGCAGTGGCAGAGCCAGCGCAGCCAGCTGCAAGGAGCTATGCACCAGTTCAACCAGAGATACCTCTACTCTGTAAGACAACTCCCACCAACTCCACCCGCCCTCCCTCCTTCCTTCCCTCCCTCCCTCTGTCCCTCTCTCCCTCTCTCCCTCCTCCCTCCTCCCTCCCTCCATCCTACGTTTGTTAGCAGTTAGCAGCTACAATCCTGTACAGCAGCATTTACAAAATCAGGTTCACAAATAAAAATATATTTGTAGTTATGTAAATGTTCAGTGAATGTGTAAGCAGTTGTGGTGGCTGAATGAATATATACAGTTATTATTGTAGCAATGACTGAGTAAGTCAACGCTATAAAGAGAATATGTGTCTTTCTATCAATGCTACGTGTAGTTGAAGAGAATCTCAATGTGAACTAAAGAGTGGAGAAGAACATACTGGAGAACAGGAAACATGCAGCAGCAGGTTCATTAGAGCACAGAGATGGTAGAGGTGGTGTGCAGACAGTCTATGGTCTTACAGTGATCACAGGGAATAAACATCACCACCCCCTCTCACTGGCTCCAGGTGAATTCTCCTGATTATATCCTGCTGTGTTCTCACATCAGCTCACTCTGACTTTCTGCAGAATAAATTTGAGGAGGCTGGAGGAGAGTTCGAGGGAAAAATGTGTTCACACATATAGCTCCTCCTGCAGGAGTTCTGTGTGTACTGTTCTGTACTTCGGAACTTTAAACATCATGCTTTGAAGTTTACTCGACTTTTCATTAACCATGTAAAACTAATATCAGTATTAAATAGGATTAAAAATCAGTCTGTTCTCTGGGAGGTTATTTCACTCACTTTGTTTCCTAAAGGGTGAGAACTTCAGTAAAATCAGCTCACCTCCGCCCCGGCCGTGTTATCTCTGTGAGGGTCTTTGATCTGAGCATTGAGGTCACTTCCACTGAGGATGATTAGTTTAAAGCTCAAATCTAAAGACAGGAACCAGCAGAAACCAGTTAAAGACGCTCTCCTGCTGCAGAATATATCTTAGTCTGACTTCTCTTTTGAATGTTTTTTAAATATCCTAAATACCTGGAGTATTTTCCTAATGGATGTCTACGTGTGCATCCCTCGTTTTCAGGCATCTATGATGTCCGCTGAGAACGATCCTCTCGGCCCACTGCCTCCAGGATGGGGTGAGAATACTTTGTACATTCTGCACGTATTTCTACTTTGTTCAGGGTATATGGTCCTAACATGAGCTGTTCCTTCAGTTGATACAAAATGACAAAAAGTTTGTGTTTCTGTTTGAAGTTATCTTCTGAATGTTTCCAAACTGTTTTGTTCCTCTCGTCTTGAAATCCTTCTCAGTGTGTTCAGAGTCATCTCTCTGGTGATAATCTGACTTGGCTGCCTTGTTGTCGGGGCCTGTTGCTTCCTCTCTCTCTCTCTCTCTCTCTCTCTCTCTCTCTCTCTCTCTCTTCTCTCTCTTCTCTCCCTCTCTCTCTCTCTCTCCTCTCTCTCTTCTCTCCCTCTCTCTCTCTCTCTCTCTCTCCCCCCCTCTCTCCCTCTCTCTGTGTTGTGTGTTAATCTGCAGATTCTTGTCTGTTTTTTTGTTTTTTTAAATATAAACTCCAGAGCGGCGTGTGGACTCCAACGACCGAGTGTACTTTGTCAACCACAATACAAAGACAACGCAGTGGGAGGATCCTCGGACACAAGGGTGAGTCGAGTGCAAGAAAAGACAGATAACATTCAAATCGTAAAGTCTGAGCCCGGTGTGAGTGCTGCGAGGTCCACAGCCTCCTGACAATCTAATAGAAATAAACATGAAGGTAGAATTTAAAGGTAGAGATTGTTAAAGGTTCCCGGGCTTCTCCGTGTCCCTGCACAACACTGATGTTGCTCAGTCACATCTAAAGGTTTAAAACTGATTTTAACCGTCCAGTTAAAGCCGGTGTTTGTGTTCATTCAACAACAAAAAACATTCTTACCTACAAAAATATCCCAAATTTCTTACTTTTCTCTCGTCTTATGAAATCCAGAGTCCAGGTCAGGACCAAAGAGAAACATCTGAACTCAATTTTAGACTCTGTTAAAATCCCTCATTTGAAGAATATCATCATCACCAGAATGTAGTGCGAGAAGAGAAAGCCCTGGAGATGTTCTCCGTCTGATGCAAAACATGTTTGTTGTATCATTCAAGCAGACAAACAGGAAACTGAGTTTTTTTACCCAGAGCAGGAAACAATGTTACACATCCTTCTTCTCAGTCTATACAACTGGTTCATCTGGTTTATCGTTTATTTATGAGCCAATTACTTATTTGTGTTTGGAGTTGCCGTGCTGAATTTGACACCTGGCTCCACGTCTTTTGGGGATTTTTGACCTTCCTAAGAGCAACTTGCTCTGGCTGGTTTGATCCAGTTTGAACCACCTCTCCTGACAGAGAGGTTTTCAGTCGATCCCTCCTTCCTCCCTCCTTAGCTCCTCCTGCTCTGTCTGGTCTCCATTAAGAAAATATGGTCTTCCTGCCTTGTTTTTTATCCTAATGGATAACAACATTACCATCGTTTTTAAGTACAATGACCATAAATGAACACAGAGCTGCTTCAGTTTCATGAAGTGTTTGAAGCACATGGAGCACAGAAAAGTCACTGAGGTGAACTCTGTTTTACTGAAGCGCTTACATAAGGCCGAGATAAGTTCTTGAATGTCAAACTTTCGTGACAGCACAATGTGAAGAAACAATTTTATCTGAAGAACAAGATATCCAGAAAATCACTGCAGCAGTTTGACACTTTTGTTGTTTTTTCCTTTCAGAGATAAGAGTATGAGAAGTGTATTCAATCAATGTCAGGGCCAGAACCTAGAACTCCAGCGTGCAATGTATTTCAGTGGTGACCTAAGCCTGATCACTTGTCATAGGTCCTGTGACGACGTGGCGTTTTGGGAGCGTTTGCGTCTTTTTTTCCCCAAGTGCTCTTGCATTTTTTGTGCGGCTGCTCCGAGCTCTTCATGTTGAAAGGCTTTCAACTTTCCATAAGGGCGCTGATGACGTCATCGGCACTCTTTTTAGCCAATCATATAGTCCTTGTATGTTTGTCTTCTACAGATAGTAACGTGTACCCACATCCTCCTCGCCGTGCGTCTGATCGGAGCCGTGATAGTGAGGCAGTCATCATTACTAAAATTATCATCCAGATACACTAGGCGAACATCCTCCGTTCTATGCTCATAGTGAGGGGAAATAAACGATCTCAAATGTAAAACATAAGTGGTGGTGTCGGTCATACAGTGGCTGTTGTCAAAAGACTGTTGTCACAGAGACAAGGGGCAGGTGCAGCGCTTTAATTCTCAGCGCACAATCGTTTCATCCAAGCACTCAGCCAGCGCTTTTCTGCCAGGCGGACTCAGGTCCACAGACTGCATTTGATACAAGCAATGTGTTGAAACACTTCATTTATGGGAAATGTTTCAGTATGAGACCTTCAGCGAGTGAAACTAGGGGGTGTGACGATCACTCCGCTCATGAGTGGTTCATTGGGTTCACAGGAACGAGATGAGACGATACAGAGCTCAACAGTGAAGTCCCGCCCACTTTTTCAGTGGCTCTGGTTACAGAAGTAAATTTCCCCGTTCAAATGCTCCGTTGACATTTCAGAAAATCTTTATATCAATATTTTTAATCGACAAGGACCTTCTAATTACAATTGGTGGTAAACATTTCCATGGTAACAGCAGGCTCCACCAATAAGAGACTCTGACACTCTAGCATTGTGGGTCATGTAGTTCTTTTCCCTCATATCACGAATAAACCATGGTTATCTAAGTGTTTTATGATTTAGTCTTTGCCTCAAGAGGAGAGGAAATGTTGCATATAGTATCTCATGTATAATGTTTGTGTGTGTCGCATGTGTGTCGCATGTGTGTGCAGGCTACAGAACGAGGATCCTCTTCCTGAAGGTTGGGAGATCCGTTACACACGGGAGGGAGTCCGATACTTTGTGGATCACAACACCAGGACCACCACCTTCAGCGACCCGCGCACTGGAAAGTCCTCTGTGTAAGAAAATATTTGCCGATTATTAACTTGTATTAATGCTACATCACTGATGCCACATCAAAGAAAGCTTGTGCATGTTTACCAGACGCTCAATGAGGGCGTTTTCACATCAGGCATGACTTTGTTGTAGTATGCCTGAGCACGATTGCTCCCCCCCTCTCCCCCGCTGGTCTGCGTACACATCAGTAACACCATTCTGTAACCAAGTACACTTGTGTATGTTCACAGTCCGATACAGCAGGGGGCAATATGCACATAGTTGGTTTGCAAATCTGCCACAAAGCAGAAAGAAGCAACCATGGCAACCGCTCACAGGCTGAGTCCGTCCTGCTAACTGTGGATGTTTTGTGTTTTCTGAGACGCCAACAACGACCCTCTTCCTGCTTCCACATCTACCGTGCTGCTCAGAGGATGAAACAGGCCCGTGCTGCGTGGTTACAACGGTTTTTGAAGCGTCAGGAGCCGTTTAGAATGACGTCATATAGCGGTCCACTTCATTGTTTGAGCACAGTTGTGTTCACATTTCCCGCGGACCGTACTCGAGTACACATAATCGTGCCTCAGACCACCTCTTCAAGCAGACTTGCGCACGGTACCCGAGTAGGTTGCGTTTCTGTTGAACCGGACTTTGTGTTGTCGGATCCAGGCCAGAGTCCCTGATGTGAAACCTTATTTGAGTGTTCATACAGCTCAGGTAAAGAAGAATATAATTTGTGTATAACATGAAGTTGCTATGGAAAATTAGCTTTGTTTCTATTGGCTCTTACGTCCTCCATTTTGACCTTGTCAATGTTTTCGTCTCCTCAGCACCAAAGGTCCTCAGATTGCTTACGAGCGCAGCTTCAGATGGAAGCTTGCACATTTCCGCTACCTGTGCCAGGTGAGTAGTCTCTGCCAATCCATTTCTGTATCTTGCTCATTTTTCCAGATTTTATTTTTTCATTTTATACGTAAATGTTTTTCCCCCGTCTGTCTTCAGTCCAACGCCCTCCCTAGCCATGTGAAGATCACCGTCTCCAGACAGACGCTGTTTGAAGACTCGTTTCAGCAGGTGAGGGTCTGAATCACTGTCTCTATGTTTGGTTAATATCAGGGTGTAGATCACTGCAATAAAACAACAGACTCATCTTTTAAGAAGGAGGGCAAAAATAACCAATCAGTCTGTTGTAGACAGTTTGACAGCAGCACCGTCACAGGGAGATTGATGTCTTTTCTACTGCAAAGTCATCGGAGCCGGAGCGTGGAGAGAGAAGAAACAAGTTGAGGATTTATGGAGGGGTTGAGGATGCAGAGAACGAAGCTCACGTTTATTGATCCGTTTATCAAAGGAAGGGACCGTGTCTGTGTTCCCTCATATGCAAGTCTTTGTTTTGGCTGATCTGTTGTGTGTTTCCTCCGTGAACCAGATCATGGCCCTGAAGCCTTACGACTTGAGGAGGAGACTCTATGTCATCTTCAGAGGAGAGGAGGGCCTCGACTACGGTGGATTAGCTCGGTAACACGCACAATTTTAAAATTTTAAAGAAAATGGATTTGTCTGAAATAAAAGCACAACTTGATCATGTGCGACTCTTGTCCCTCACCATCTCTGTCTTTTTCCATCTCGTCCCCCTGTCCCCCCCCCCTCACTCTGCAGGGAGTGGTTCTTCTTGTTGTCCCATGAAGTGCTGAACCCCATGTACTGTCTGTTCGAGTACGCCGGTAAGAGTAACTACTGTCTGCAGATCAACCCGGCCTCAGCCATCAACCCCGACCACCTCTCCTACTTCTGCTTCATCGGACGCTTCATCGCCATGGTCAGTTCACGTCCTGCCATGGTGGCTGTTTCAAGTTATATATACATTCATCTGTCACTTGATCAGTAGCCTGCCATAGATATCCTGTTTTCAGATTCACCAGTTCATTAAGTAAACAGTCTCATTACTGTCTCTGTCAGGCACTTTTCCACGGGAAGTTCATCGACACAGGCTTCTCTCTGCCTTTCTACAAACGAATGCTGAACAAGAAGCTGATCCTCAAAGACCTGGAGTCCATCGATCCAGAGTTTTACAACTCGCTGATCTGGATCAGGTATCAGGGGGGCTGGATTTTAGTATGAGAAGTGTGCATGCATATCTTATTTTCCTTAATACTACACATTCCCTAAAATCTGGAATATAAGTCGCACAGGTATATAAAACGCAGTCTGTGTTCTGGAGTTTAATCTGTCTTCCTGAACGATGATTATCAGTCTCTCTGCCCACCTCCTCTGCTCACTTGTTGTCTTTAACTGAGGAGTACTTCAGTCAGTCCAGCACTCCACAAGCTTTATTTACTGAACTGTATTACCACTGTTTGCTTTAAATGCACCACGATTACCTCATGATGGAGAAAAGAAAAGATGGAAAAAAAGTGTCAAAAAAACATGACTGAGACTTCTTTTCTTTCATTTATTTTTTTCTTTTTGAGCGACACTTCCTTCATTCAGCACAAACACATTTTAATATCTGTTCAGGGACAACAACATCGAGGAGTGCGGCCTGGAGATGTATTTCTCCGTGGACATGGAGATCCTCGGGAAGATCACGTCCCATGACCTCAAACCCGACGGGACCAACGTCCTCGTCACTGAGGAGAACAAGGAGGAGTATATCAGGTTCAGAACTCTATTTTAAATCATAATATCTGACCTCTAAGTGACGATGTCATTCATTAATATGTCTATCTCTGATGTCTGTTCGCCCTGCAGTCTGATGGCGGAGTGGAGGTTCTCCCGCGGGGTCGAAGGTCAGACGAAAGCGTTCCTGGACGGTTTTAACGAGGTGGTTCCTCTTCAGTGGCTGCAGTACTTTGATGAGAAGGAGCTGGAGGTGAGCAAAACAAAAGAAGCTGTGGAGGAACATTAAAGATGATGTTCAGTGTGTTTGTAGCTACCCCTTATGCCTGTGTTTATTCATGTGTGTGTGTGTGTTTGTCCAGGTGATGCTGTGTGGCATGCAGGAGGTGGACCTGCAGGACTGGCAAAGAAACACGGTGTACCGACACTACACCAGGAACAGCAAACAGATAATCTGGTTCTGGCAGGTACACAAAGCTCACACAGAGTTCTTCTGGGTTAATATTCATCCATGAGCTCATTGAGTTCTCTGATCTTAAGGTTGTCTGAGCTGACACCCCTCTGTGTGTGTGTGTGTGTGTGTGTGTGTGTGTGTGTGTGTGTGTGTGTGTGTGTGTGTGTGTGTGTGTGTGTGTGTGTGTGTGTGTGTGTGTGTGTGTGTGTGTGTGTGTGTGTGTGTGTGTGTGTGTGTGTGTGTGTGTGTGTGTGTGTGTGTGTGTGTGTGTGTGTGTGTGTGTGTCTGTGTGTCTGTGTCTGTCTGTCCGTCTGTCCGTCTGTCTCCTGCAGCTGGTAAAAGAAGTGGACAACGAGGTGCGTCTGCGGCTCATGCAGTTTGTCACGGGAACCTGCAGACTCCCTCTGGGCGGCTTTGCAGAGCTCATGGGTCAGTAACAGAAAAACACCAAACCTGGATCTGATATTCTAAAATATTATGCTGTATAAATGACCGCACAGGACAGAGAGTTTTGGTGTTTACGGCTGCGATGCTTGGTGGTCAATTCAGCTACAGGTCTTCTGACCGCCCGTCTCCTTCTTACCCCCCATCGTCACCTTCTTACCCCTCGTCTCCTTCCTACCCCTCGTCTCCTTCTTACCCCTTGTCTCCTTCCTACCCCTCGCCTCCTTCCTACCCCTCGTCTTCTTCTGACCCCTCGTCTCCTTCCTACCCCTCGTCTCCTTCTTACCCCTTGTCTCCTTCCTACCCCTCGCCTCCTTCCTACCCCTCGTCTTCTTCTTACCCCTCGTCTCCTTCTTACCCATCGTCTCCTTCTTACCCCTCGTCTCCTTCCTACCCTCGTCTCCTTCTGACCCTCGTCTCCTTCTTACCCTCGTCTCCTTCTTACCCCTCGTCTCCTTCCTACCCCTCGTCTTCTTCTGACCCCTCGTCTTCTTCTTATCCCTTGTCGTCTTCTTCTGACCCCTCGTCTCCTTCTTACCCCTTGTTGTCTCCTTCTGACCCCTCGTCTCCTTCTGACCCCTCGTCTTCTTCTGACCCCTTGTCATTTTCTTCTGACCCCTCGTCTCCTTCTGACCCCTCGTCTCCTTCTGACCCCTTGTCATCTTCTTCTGACCCCTCGTTTTCTACTGACCCCTCATCTTCTTCTTACCCCTTGTCGTCTCCTTCTGACCCCTTGTCGTCTTCTTCTGACCCCTCGTCTTCTTCTTATCCCTTGTCGTCTTCTTCTGACCCCTCGTCTCCTTCTGACCCCTTGTTTTCTCCTTCTGACCCCTCGTCTCCTTCTTACCCCTCGTCTCCTTCTTACCCCTCGTCTCCTTCTGACCCCTCGTCTCCTTCTTACCCCTCGTCTTCTTCTGACCCATCGTCTCCTTCTTACCCATCGTCTTCTTCTGACCCATTGTCTCCTTCTTACCCCTCGTCTCCTTCTTACCCCTCGTCTTCTTCTGACCCCTCGTTTTCTACTGACCCCTCGTCTTCTTCTTACCCCTTGTCGTCTCCTTCTGACCCCTTGTCGTCTTCTTCTGACCCTCGTCTCTTCTGACCCCTTGTTTTCTCCTTCTGACCCCTCGTCTCCTTCTGACCCTTGTCTCCTTCTTACCCCTCGTCTCCTTCTTACCTCGTCTCCTTCTTAACCCTCGTCTCTTCTGACCCATCGTCTCCTTCTTACCCCTCGTCTTCTTCTGACCCCTCGTCTCCTTCTTACCCCTTGTCGTCTCCTTCTGACCCCTCGTCTTCTTCTGACCCCTTGTCGTCTTCTTCTGACCCCTTGTCGTCTCCTTCTTACCCCTCGTCTTCTTCTGACCCCGTCTCCTTCTTACCCCTCGTCTCCGTCCGACCCCTCGTCTCCTTCTTACCCCTCGTCTCCTTCTTACCCCTTGTCTTCTTCTGACCCCTCGTCTCCTTCTGACCCCTCGTCTCCTTCTGACCCCTCGTCTTCTTCTTACCCTCGTCTCCTTCCTACCCCTCGTCTTCTTCTGACCCCTCGTCTTCTTCTTATCCCTTGTCGTCTTCTTCTGACCCCTCGTCTCATTCTTACCCCTCGTCTCATTCTTACCCCTTGTTGTCTCCTTCTGACCCCTCGTCTCCTTCTGACCCCTCGTCTTCTTCTGACCCCTTGTCATTTTCTTCTGACCCCTCGTCTCCTTCTGACCCCTCGTCTCCTTCTGACCCCTTGTCATCTTCTTCTGACCCCTCGTCTCCCTCTTACCCCTCGTCTCCCTCTAACCCCTCGTCTTCTTCTGACCCATCGTCTCCTTCTTACCCATCGTCTTCTTCTGACCCATCGTCTCCTTCTTACCCCTCGTCTCCTTCTTACCCCTCGTCTCCTTCTTACCCCTCGTCTCCTTCTTAACCCTCGTCTCCTTCTGACCCCTCGTCTCCTTCTGACCCCTTGTCGTCTTCTTCTGACCCCTCGTCTCCCTCTTACTCCTCGTCTCCTTCTTACCCTCGTCTTCTTCTGACCCTCGTCTCCTTCTTACCCATCGTCTTCTTCTGACCCATTGTCTCCTTCTTACCCCTCGTCTCCTTCTTACCCCTCGTCTTCTTCTGACCCCTCGTTTTCTACTGACCCCTCGTCTTCTTCTTACCCCTTGTCGTCTCCTTCTGACCCCTTGTCGTCTTCTTCTGACCCCTCGTCTTCTTCTTATCCCTTGTCGTCTTCTTCTGACCCCTCGTCTCCTTCTGACCCCTTGTTTTCTCCTTCTGACCCCTCGTCTCCTTCTTACCCCTCGTCTCCTTCTTAACCCTCGTCTCCTTCTGACCCCTCGTCTCCTTCTGACCCCTTGTCGTCTTCTTCTGACCCCTCGTCTCCCTCTTACTCCTCGTCTCCTTCTTACCCCTCGTCTTCTTCTGACCCATCGTCTCCTTCTTACCCATCGTCTTCTTCTGACCCATTGTCTCCTTCTTACCCCTCGTCTCCTTCTTACCCCTCGTCTTCTTCTGACCCCTCGTTTTCTACTGACCCCTCGTCTTCTTCTTACCCCTTGTCGTCTCCTTCTGACCCCTTGTCGTCTTCTTCTGACCCCTCGTCTCCTTCTGACCCCTTGTTTTCTCCTTCTGACCCCTCGTCTCCTTCTTACCCCTCGTCTCCTTCTTACCCCTCGTCTCCTTCTTACCCCTCGTCTCCTTCTTAACCCTCGTCTTCTTCTGACCCATCGTCTCCTTCTTACCCCTCGTCTTCTTCTGACCCCTCGTCTCCTTCTTACCCCTTGTCGTCTCCTTCTGACCCCTCGTCTTCTTCTGACCCCTTGTCGTCTTCTTCTGACCCCTTGTCGTCTCCTTCTTACCCCTCGTCTTCTTCTGACCCCCCGTCTCCTTCTTACCCCTCGTCTCCGTCCGACCCCTCGTCTCCTTCTTACCCCTCGTCTCCTTCTTACCCCTTGTCTTCTTCTGACCCCTCGTCTCCTTCTGACCCCTCGTCTTCTTCTTACCCTCGTCTCCTTCTTACCCCTCGTTGTCTTCTGACCCATCGTCTCCTTCTTACCCCTCGTCTTCTTCTGATCCCTCGTCTCCTTCTCACCCCTTGTCGTCTCCTTCTGACCCCTCGTCTCCTTCTGACCCCTCGTCTTCTTCTTACCCTCGTCTCCTTCTTACCCCTCGTTGTCTTCTGACCCATCGTCTCCTTCTTACCCCTCGTCTTCTTCTGATCCCTCGTCTTCTTCTGACCCCTCGTTTTCTTCTGACCCCTTGTCATCTTCTTCTGACCCCTCGTCTCCTTCTTACCCCTCGTCTTCTTCTGACCCCTCGTTTTCTTCTGACCCCTTGTCATCTCCTTCTGACCCCTCGTCTCCTTCTTACCCCTTGTCGTCTTTTTCTTACCCCTTGTCGTCTCCTTCTTACCCCTGGTCGTCTCCATTTTACCCCTCGTCTCCTTCTGACCCCTTGTTGTCTTCTTCTGATCCCTCGTCTTCTTCTTACCCCTTGTCGTCTCCTTCTGACTCCTCGTCTCCTTCTTACCCCTCGTCTCCTTCTGACCCCTTGTTTTTTCGTCTCATTCTGTGTTGCAGGAAGTAACGGTCCTCAGAAGTTCTGCATAGAGAAGGTGGGAAAAGACACGTGGCTTCCTCGGAGCCACACATGGTGAGTGCAACGCTCCTCTTCTGATTCACGTTCTGTACTTATGCATGTGCTCCCATATCGTGCCGAATTACACCTCTCCCACCTGTGCCAGGGCCAAGGAAGTGAACGGCCCAGCACTGAGCACTCTCACTAGTCAAACTGGACTTTTGGAGTCGAACGTACTCGGGCACAGTACAGATTGCCTAGTGTGAGAGACCTGCAGGTTTCTTGGAGTTTGTTGTCAGATATAATGAGAATGGTTCTGACTGTGGGGACTGAAAGCACGCCTGTCCCAGACGACCTGAATGGTGCATTATGTATCAGAAGTGTTCAGTGGGGCCAGTGTAAAGACCTGAGGACTGGACTGATGTGATCCACCTTCTTGGTCTCAGTGAAGAGCAGGAAAAAGCTCAACAGGGCTTAACCGCTGGTCTCTCTCTCTGTCCCCTCAGTTTTAACCGTCTGGACCTTCCTCCCTACAAAAGCTTCGAGCAGCTGAAGGAGAAGTTGCTGTTCGCCATCGAGGAAACCGAAGGATTTGGCCAAGAATAGACGGACGCGTCCTCAAGTTTTTCTCTCCTTCCCCATCGCTGATTATTCAGCCAAGTAAAACAAAAAAAAAATTGCACAAGATAACCACCAATGTATATAAGCTATTTTGTCATTTTAAACCAAATCTTAATTTGCAGCATTATTTATGCAGCAACCCTGAAATACTATCTGACACCCCCCCCCCCCCCCCATCATGAAATATGCAAACATTTCAGCCTGTTTGGAAACAGTTATCATAGATATTTTTTTAATTTCTCTCCCACTGCTGACGGCTTTTTAAAGAGACTGAACGTGTTTTCGAGAGGATTTTGTAGCGGAGGAGCGACCTTCGTTTAAAGCTCTAGTTCTATAGAGCTTCTAAAATAGAAAAAGTCTGAGTAGTGTCGGGGTCCGGTGCCTGAATTTGAGTTTTTCATCCCCCAGTTGGACTCGTATTAAATGTCGCCATTCTTTTTGCGTATTTGCATGGCTGCCTCTGAAGACTGCTGTGAGCGCCCTCCATTCACTACACACACAGTAGTTGGGAGAATCTGGACGCCGTCCCAGAGAAGTGTGTGTGTGTGTGTGTGTGTGTGTGTGTGTGTGTGTGTGTGTGTGTGTGTGTGTGTGTGTGTGTGTGTGTGTGTGTGTGTGTGTGTGTGTGTGTGTGTGTGTGTGTGTGTGTGTGTGTGTGTGTGTGTGTGTGTGTGTGTGTGTGTGTCGCAGCCTGTGCGTCGCAGCTCTGATGTTTGAGAATCTGGATGTGTTCTGGGACTTTTAATTTAAAGTTTGAGCTTTTTGGAAAGAGACAAAAAACGGCTCAGTTGTTCTTGTGATTCATTTTTATTTGTTATATTTTTGTTCCTCCTTGAATTTTGTGTCTTCAGTCCGATGAGGCCGCTGTGGTTTACAGAGCACCCGACACGATACCTTTATACGAGACAAACTTTACTTTGAACATTGAGTATTATTTAACCTGGGCTGAGCGTGTGGACAGTGTCTTAATGACTCAAAGGTACAAAACGTTTTTTGATTACTCCAGTAGGTGTCTGCAGGCAAAGTAACTGAAACCTGAAAATAAACCACTGAGGTTTTGCTGCTGACTCCTCCTAGTCGTCCACAGGTGCTGGCAGCCAGGTGAAGTCACCAGAGGAAGCACCAAAATAAAACAGGCAATTGAAACAGGCTGTAACGGCTGCAACGCATTTTTGGGACAAATGAGCCTGGTAGTCTGACCAGGGGAGGAAGGTACTTAGACCACGACCTTCCTCGGCTTCATGCATACTTGGAAAAACATTTAAATATTTTAATACCTGCATGGAGTATAAAGAAACCATTGTCACAAAGGGCTTTACAGAGTATGGAAATCCCAAATGTAAAATCCCAAACCATGAAAATAAAAACAACAATGTAGCAATCAAACAATAAAATAGAGAAAGCTACAACAATGATTTTTTTTTTTTTTAAAGATAGTGATGCAGCTCGTCTGAGATCCTCAGGCAGGTTGTTCCACAGCCGAGGAGCCCAGGCAGCAAACGCTCGCTCTCTTTTGGTTTTTAAGTTTGAGGAGTGAACAGTGAGGAGGTTCCTGCCTGAGGATCTTCTGATATATATCCACTACAGTCTGTTAACCTGCTGCAGGCTGAAGAAACCTACTGGGGCAATACAAAACTTTTTGTACGTTTTGGTTTGAGCCTGAAATACGTGATCGCAAAAAGAGCCCAGTTTGAAAAATGTCTGAACTTATTTGTCATCAGCCGCCCGTTACTCCAACATCGCACCTCGCCATCAAATCATGCAACTAAAAAACAGACATTTGAGCCTTAACCATCAAAGACAGAATGAGAAACGATATCAGAGGCCCTGTTATAAAAACAGTTCATGTCTCGTTAACACGTATGATGAGTCATATGAGCAGCATGCGTGCATACAGGCATTAATACACGTTAAGGCCCCGACACACCACAGAGATCGTCGGCCGTTAGTCCTGACCGTCGCTGAGCAATCGTCGCCCTAGTTTTTGTGGGGTCTTGAGCCGTCGCTACCCGTGGGCCTTTTTTTCGGGCCGATTTGACATGTTAAATCGAACGAGGGCTGACAACACCAGCCCCATTTTCAACTTTTTATCAGACATTATTCTCCATCAGTAGGCTACCTATAATACGAGTGGTGAAAATTGTCTTCTCGTATCATAACAACGGACTACCGCCCCCTGCTGGCATGGAGAATTATTTCCTCTCATGCATGAGCAGAATGTATGTGGTGGTTGGTTGTCGGCTGTAGTCGCGGTGCCTTCAAGTGCAACTTTTTTGCCAAGACACTATTTCTTTGCCATCTGCTTGGTGTGTCAGGGCCTTTAGAAACATTCAAAGGGCTCCTTTGTTTTGGAAGTATTATCCAGGCTGCATACATGTAAAGAGTTATAAAGACGAATAGAAACAATGTGCAGCCACCACCGGTGTGACTTGTACGATCAGCTCTAATCAGGCCGTGTTCAGAGTCACTCTGAGGATCTGAGCTGACATGAGAAAGCCTTAATGTAACACAGACGTGTGTTCATATCAGTGTGCAGGAGCCTGATGCACTTAGGAATAAAGTATATAAAAGACTTAATGAGACACTAAACGTGCCACAGACCAAAAAAGACGAGTGCAGCCGGAGACTGACTGCAGGAAGCCTGAAGATGACGATGATGATGCATCGCTTTATGTTTTGTTTTTGCAGCCCGCTCGTCCTCTCTGTCTCTCCAGGAGATGTTTTTTCTTTCCATTTGTTTGGGTCCGAATGCAGGAAAAAAAGAAAAGAGCTGTGACAGAGGGAGCGACTCTTTGTTTCCTCACACGTCTGCAGTAGGAGCTTGAGCTTGCTCAGATTATCAGCCATGTAAATAACGTGTACTCGTGTGGAGGGACGACAGCAAGAAGACAAATAATCGGCTGTAGCAGAAGGAGTCCACACTGCAGAACATTGTGCTTCCTTTTGAACAGAAACCTTTAATCAAAGAAATCAAAACTGTGTCTGTGAATATTCATGTATAAAGTAAATAAAGTACTTAAGTATTATAATTAATGACACAGAGCCGCCGCTCCGCTGATGGAAATCTGTGATGCCTTTGTTCTTATCAGAAATAGACGCCGCGTTTTAGACTGCCTTCATCCCAGACGGCGAGTGTCATCTGTGTGAGCTTGTGACTGAGCTGCAGGCGGTCTGAAACGCGTCCAATCTGTAACATATCGCGTGTAGATACACACTGTAAACACAAACCACACTGTACAGAATGCCCTCTGCTGGAGACCATGTGTATAGAAGATTCATTTTTAATCTGCTTTCAGCCATTTTAATGAAGAAAGATGGATTTATGAGAAACAATAAATAAGAGAATAAACCCCTCCATGACCTTGCTTTTCTTCTTTCTTTACATTTAATGAGTTTGTTTTTGTTCAAGGATTGAGAGGATGAAGACGCCTTCTGCTCAGGATTTACTGTTCCTATAGGTCACATATTCACATATTTTCAACCAGTGTAAATAAGTCTCAGAGCTCCTCAAAACGTGTGTGAAGTTTCTTGTTTTAAATCCACTCTGATCCTGTATTTGATCATGTCTCTAAACCCCTTTATTTCAGTCCTGCTCAGAACAGGCTGTTTCTGTGTCTGTACCTTTCAATATGTAAATGAGCTGTGTCTGACCACACCCCCTCTCTGGAAGGGTTTGGGTGTCTCGGTCTTTCTCGCTCCATGTCCTATTGTTTACGGTGAGAAGGCAGACTTAGGGCAGAACAAACACCTAGCTGTGGGAGTGTCACCCACCTGGGGGAGGGGCTACTGCCCTTTGTGATGTCATAAAGGGAAAATCTCCAAACGGCCTGTTTGAGCACACATTTTCTGAAAAGTGGAGCAGGTAAAAGACAGAGGATGAACTTTTCTCATCATTGGGGGGTTTGTAGACAGACTAGAGACACATATTAATGTTAGAGAAACATGGGGAAGTGGATTTACAGAATATATGACCTTTTGTTGAATTATAAGTTATAATTCTTTTAAAGGAAGCCTTCATCAGAATCTACTAAACCAACATTAATATTTAAAAAAAATTGCATATAGTGAATCTTCATTTAATGAGCTAAACAGAATAAAAGCCAGGTAGTTAAATATTAATTGGTTATCAAAGTGTATTTAACTTTCATTTCTAATGCGTTTAGTAATGCCTCCTGTAAGAGTTTTACAGGAACATCCATTCATTATCTTTTATTGCTTTTCCTGTTTGGGGGGAGGCTGGGGCCGATCCCAGCAGAAGACTATTTTTCAAGGCTTCTCCAAGGAGGGGGAGAAAGATTAACGCAGACCCAAATAAACTTTGGTCATGTCTTCAGTCCCTCTCTGAGACCAGATATCACCTCCTTACAAACATACGAGCAGAAACATTAGGAAAGTTTTGGAGAACAAACCACACAGGCCCATGTTGGAGTTGTTAAACTGTCTTTAGTAAAACAACCAGAGTCTTATGTTGACGGCAGGCTCAGTCACGCTTCATGGTGCAGAAAGATCAGGAGTTTTTAAGTCAAGCAACATTTAAGAAATATATTCATCACTCGGCTCGCTATAGCAACTGGAAAAGAGGGACTCCTCATCTTCAGGAATATTGTGCATTTACATTTCTTTATTACAGTAATTACAAAAGAAAACATGATTTTAAAGTAGTTATTAACAGTCTTCATCCCAGCTTTTTCAGGAGGTCTACGGCTTCTTTATGGACCTGCAGAGGAACAAATAAATGTCCCATGAGCACGTTAAAACCTGGGCTATGATTTATTTATATATTTGTGTGTGTGTGTGTACCTTTGTGTCCTCGTGTGTGTATGTACCTGTGTCCTCGTGTGTACCTCTGTGTGTGTGTACCTGTGTGTGTGTGTGTACCTGTGTGTGTGTGTACCTCTTTGTCCTCATGTGTGTGAGGAGGGTATTCTTTGGCTTTGGTTAACCACAGCAGAGCTTTCTCTTTGTCCTTCATCCCCAGGTACGTCTTCCCCAGCATCAGCAGGTTTTTACTGTAGAAGTTTGGATCCACTGCAAATAGAAAACATGTTAAACATTAGTTAAATACATTTTAAACATCTAAAGAAATCATTTCAACACCTTTTTATTTCTGCAGGAGATCAGTTTGTGTTCTCACCTTCTTCAGCTTTCAGGAAGAACGCCAATGCCTGAAGAGACAGAAGATCAACTGACTGTGAGAAAACTAAATCTTTCAGCTGTTTCCACCCAGAGAATCAGACAGACCCAAAATCAACATCCAACCTTTGACCTTAAAATGTCGTAATCAAGACTCTGACAGGACTCTAATCGTAGATCTTACATGAATTAAACCGTGAAAGGAACATGTTTAAAAAGATCAAAGTTTTGTGTTGATCAAGAGATTTACAAAACAAAACCAACACGAGTTAAAAGAAACATGTTGCAGCCGATGAAGAATATCTCAAACACCTACTCTTCATAAAAATTCGACCTGTGGCTCCTTTCCCGCATTTCATTCCCCATTTTCCCTCTCTCTCCCTGATTTATTTTTTAAAGCTTTTCTTGGGGCGTTTGGGACTTTAGAGAGACAGGTCAGTGGATAGAGTTGGAGATTGGGATGAGAGGGAGCAGGTAAGGAGTCACAGATGGATACGAACCCGGGTTGTCCGCTTAGAGGACTACAGCCTCTGTACATGGGGCGCATGCACTAACCACTAGGCCACTTGCGCTCCTCCCCGATTTCTAAATCTATCCCTTTTCCCCAAAAATAGAAATTAAGTCACTTTTTGACATGTATAGAAAAATGTGAAATAAGTTTTAAAGTTGTCTCAAAAGCGTTCCTAAAAGACTTAAAATAATTCATGCAAATAAGTAACACAACAAAGGATTATGGGTGCAGACAGACGGAGGAGTCCTCACCTCCTCATATGTGGACGTTGGTGGTGAAGCAAAAATGACAGCGGCCACTTTACGCTGATACCACGGCAGCTCAGCGAACGCAAAACACCTGAAAGAAAGAAGACGTAAAGATTTCTCTTAATGGACCTTTGAGTGACAAATAGATCCAATGACAGAGTTAATATCCAAACTGTATCCGATGGATTTATAAACACAAGCTCTCAGGGTGGACTGCAGTGACTTCATGTTATTTAAAGAATATTATACATATAGCAATATGTAACTCTGACGCCTGGTGTTTAAAATGAGTACTGCAGTCCAAATTCAAATTTGAGAGCTGTCTCCTGCTCTGTGACGACAAACTATCTGAAGTTTATACTTAACTAACGGTAAGTGTCCTTATTGTTCTAGAGTTTTCTTTATGCTGTGTAACTGTTAGCTGCTAACAGTTTGACTCTGAAGGGTCTGCACAGGAACTTTGAAGGTGGAGGAAAAATACGGCAGCACTCAAATCCAGTCTGCCATCTTTTGCATCTTCCTACAAGGTGAATGCGTTTCTCTGCTCAACAGCTGCTTAGAGCTTCTGTAGATTTACAGTTTAAGTAAAAGATGAAACTTACCAGTAACCCAGGATGTGGAGGGAGGTGGCATCTTTGGGATTTAGCTTGGTGGCTGTCTGTAAAATAAGTAAGTCGGACTTTAGAAACGGACGTGTGCATAAAAGGAAATGACTCGGGGGCTCAAACGTCCTCTTACCTCCAGATGTTCTCTGATCTTGTAGGAATTTCCAATCTTCACCTTGACTCCCTCATAATCCCCGATATCGCTGAGACATATTCCATACCACTGTGAGAGGAGAGGGAGAGCTTTGTTCTTTAATTATGTTAATTATCATACATTTTCTTCTTCTGCGAGTGTGAATGCATGCATAATTCATCTGAAGACAAACGCATTAAGACCCCCGCTGTGATTTTGTGTTTGAGCTGGGGATGACCCAGCAGTGCAGTCTTACTTTGTGTGCTGCGAAACTCTTGTCGTCCTTCTCCAGGGCTCTCTTTGCGTATTCGAAGGCCTCGAACACGAGCTGTTTCTTCCGCTCGGCGTCCATGTCGGGCAGCAGAGCGAGGCCACGAGACGCCCGGGCGAGCCGCCACATGACCTCTGTATCATCACTGCACGGACAAAAAACAGTCCTTTGAGTTGTTTAAACAGAAATATACGAACAACTCTCTGAAACCACAGATGCAGACGCGTGCAGTAGGGTTGTCACAATACCACAATTTGATCCAAGAAAAATCTACAGTTTGTGATTCATTTCAATGACAAACAATTGCATGTGAACTCCTGCACACTGTCTCCATTAGGTAGAACACAGCTGTAAGGCACCTCTGCAGACCAGGAGAACTCATCCACTTCTAATGAACAGTCTCTGTGCAGTGGTAAACACACTCAAACTTCAAACAGAGAAACTCTAAAGGACAGCTGAGTGGAGGTGTTACCTGTTCTTGTACTGCAGCAGCAGCTCATACAGCTTCTCTGTCTCTGCACAGCTGTACAGGTAGTCAGCCTGCTCCAGCACCTCCTCTACACACACACACACACACACACACACACACACACACACACACACACACACACACACACACACACACACACACACACACACACACACACACACACACACACACACACACACACACACACACACACAAAATAGCAAAACATAAGCAAAGATACAGAGCAACAATACAGACAACATACATTTAAATGAGATGAAAGTCAAGCAATGATTTTTATGTTCAGGTAGTGTGTTAAAAGGTGTGAAATGTGTTTGTGGCAGCATAATGCATTAAAGTGTGGAACTTAGTGGGGAGTAGCGAGAAAACAAACACAAATATAAATAAATGAAAAATTAGTTTGAGGAAAAAAAAAGTATATATGCATGTAAACATTAATGGAAAGAAGATAAAATTATATAAATGTAATAATGTGTCCATCATAAAAAGAGAGGTGATGGTAATATATATATATATATATATATATATATATAATAATAAATATACACATACACATGTACATCCATAGGTGTACATATACATGCGTATCAATATTGTATAGATGTCGTAAAGAAGAAGAGCATTTGTATTTAAAGGATGTGTCACGTTAAAAACAGTCTATGACATGTACCTTTTTCCAAGGCGTGGACGACGGCTGAACGCTGCACTCTGTGACGAGCTTCATAAAGCAGGCAGGACAGAGAAGGAAGCCCCAGGAGGACTGCAGCTCCTCCACGCTGCAAACCACACAGGAGGTGACTTAAACATCCAGAACGCCATCCATGTGACGTCAGAACAATCAAAAGGAATCATTAATAAGAAGTAAATTCACATCAACATCCACTGAAGTCAGAAGAACGACACAAGGTCTGTTTCTGTCAGCGTTTAGACGTGATGTGATCTTTATCTGTAATGTTAACTAATGCAACATCATTTATCATGATGGTCAAACATTCAGAAATACTTTTTAAATCCCCTGCAGGGACATTTGTGCTTCTGTACACAACAGAGCGATCCTGACTACTGAAGCCATTAATAACATGTCATTAATCTTCTCATTATAAAAGTTTAATTTTAGATTCATTAAAAAAACACCATCTCGTGACTAAAAATATTTTCTGTTTTAACAAATTCCAGTATTGCTTTGAGAGTGATGACGAAAAGCAAGAACATAAGAAAGCAAGCAAGCAAGCAGGGTAGTACCTAAGGGAGAACGCAAATAAATAAGTACATACAGTAAGTAAATATGCAAGCAAGTAAACAAGCAATTAAGTCAGTAAGTACACAAGAAGTTTAGTAAGTATAAGGGCTTTCACACTTGCAGAAAGCGCCAGAAAAACTTCCTGATATTTTCAGTCTGAGCGTCATGTGTGAACACAAACAGCTGAATGTTTCTCCTCCAGCCTCCTGGTATTTATTCTACAGAAAGTCAGAGTGATCTGATGTGAGAACACAGCAGGATATAATCAGGAGAATTCACCTGGAACCAGTGGGAGGGGGTGGTGACCTTTATTCCCTGTGATCACTGCACGTTCTAATGAACCTGCTGCTGCATGTTCTCCAGGATGTTCTTCTCCACTCTTTAGTTCACATTAGCCCTGTTTCGCCTGGAAGAACTTTCCACCTGAACTGTAGTCTCTTTGAAGAACTGTGTGCGTTTCGACCAAATCTACTAGGGTCTAAATGTAGTTCTGGGGTAAAAGATCTACCCCTTAAAAAAGACCCTGCAAGGGGAAATGCACCTTTTAAAGGTCCAGGGACTTTAGAGAACAGGGCACTTTGCGTCATGTCTTACCTCAGGTGACCCCCCCGCCCCCTCCTGTCTGACAGGGATAGTCTCCTGTGTGAACAGCCAGATCAGGTGAATATCCGGAGCAGTCCAATATGTGAAAATGGCTTATGTAAGTTAGCAAGCAGGTAAGGAAGTATTCTAAATAAGTACATGGTAAGTAGGTATGTAGCCTAAGTGACTGATTAAAGAAGTACGCAAGTTATCAAGCAAGTAAGTCTGAAAATAAGTCAGTCAGTACGTCAGTGATTAAGCAAGCAAGTATGAAAGTTAGTAAGTAAACAGTGAGACTTCAAATAGCTAAAGGGAAAAGTACAAGCAGTCCCTGAATGCAGCAGTGCACTGAAGGATGTTTAATTGGCTACCTATTTTGTTTGGAACTTTTAGCCCTCCATATTTCTGGCTGCTGCTGGCTGTTTACAATGATTGATCGGCCTCAGGTGTTTAGCCAAGATAAACTGATGCTACAGATCAATGAGGACGCCTGGTCCCTGTCCTGTCTGTTTTTTATTTATTTAAGTTAGCGTGAGCTCTGATGGATAAACTAAAACCAATGAAAAATATACATTATATTTAAACTGTTAGATTTACAGATCTGTCTGTTGTTAGAAAACTGACTAAAGCTTCCCGGTGTTACGGTTTAAAGAGTTACCGTGCTAACTGGTGACTTCCAGCCAAATGAGTCTATGGTTGTCGTGGTTACAACCGACGTTGAAGGTGTAAAGTGCCCTTAAAAGTGCCTTTTCGATTGGTTTACAATAACGACATATCTGTTGTCGTTATAACAACGACAGCCACTGACTAATTTAGCCGAAAGTCACCAGTTAACACGATCGCTCTTTACACCGTAACACCAGCAGTATGACAGCTCTGCTGCCCTTTAACCTACATATCGACGTTTACAAAGAAGTGATCCCCTCTGTCACAAAGCGTACATTCACGAACTGAGAGGCCACCATGGACCCATTCTAGACAAGACAAGCAGGAAAGACAAAACAGTGTAAAAGAAGATGAATAAAGGTTGTTATTTACAGTGAGAGCAGAGGTATTCCTCGTTAAAACAGTCCTGTAGTTCCGGTTTGTCGCTCTGGTTTTGACGCATCTTGCAGCAGATGCTGACAGAAGAGTCCTGCCGCTCACACAGCGAGTTAACATCAGTCCAGCCATCACAGAGCCAAAAAGTCCCACGGATGAGTCTGTGGTGCGTCCAATGGTTTCAACCGGCAGCAGACTGTGTGTGGCGTTTGTTTACGCAGGAAATGCCCGGATGTAGAAGATGCAGGCCAGTCACCTCAGTAATGAAAACATGTTTGAACCTCATCAGTACCTAGATGCTTAAAAAAAAAGTACAGGCTTATTGGGGAAAAATAAAAATAATGAAATAATAATTTAAATATTATCTGTAGGATATGAAAATTGTTGGTAAAGAGTTAGAGAAAAATACTTTATTCTATTATTCAACTACTCACTTTTATTGCTATATTAGTGTTCCATTTATCCTTAATTCTTTACCTTTTTTTTAAATTATTTTAACAATTAATTATTATTGTATGTTTTAATGCTTTGATAACCTCTCATATTAGTGTTAGAGAAACATGGTGAAGTGGATTTTTCATAATATGTGACCTTTAAAGCTGTTTGTTTGCACTTCCTGACGTTGTGTCCTCTCTACTTGTGTTGTACTTACTCCCTGAATGAACGTCCCTTTGGATAAAAGCGTCATAACTGAATTGTCTCTCCACCCAATACTACATTAGTTTATTTTGACATAAATATTGTTTAAAACAATAATATGAATAATTGAATTCATCATTTTGGTATCACTTTCACTTGTAGAAAACATTTTCAATTGAATATTTTTAGTGACATGAAATTATACTAAATAAAAAGTGTATACCAAATTGAATGAAATATTATTTAATGTGGCATTTTATAAATGTCCAGGTGGATTAAATTAATAAAATCTAAATTAAATTAATATTTTAACGACAAGAAATAATTTAGTAATTCACCTGTATTAGCATAGCTTTTTAAATGATCGGCATTGAATTATTCCTACAGTTTACTCCGCCTTGAATGTACCCTGGAGAAAGTGTCCCCTTCATATGCAGTCGGTCGGAAACAACGGAACCTCCTGAGATTTCCGCATTAACTTTACTCTGGAAACCGCAAAAAAACCGCACTCTGTCATTATAAAGTATTTATTTGAGATTAAAACAATGTAACAGACACACCTGAACATTTGTAATCGTGAAATCTTAAAATATGAAACTCTTCTGAAGAGGCTGAAAGTGTCAGCCCCGCCCCCCCCCCTCCCCCCTCCTCCTCCTCCTCCGCCCCCTGGTTGCTCCACAGCTGTTCATGTCAGATAATTTAACGTTTGGTTTAGATGGTGGGCAGCAAGAAGAAGGACAAACTTTACGTTTTTAACGACAACTGAACAGGTAAATGAGCATGATTAAACTTTATACAGGTGTGAAAACAGAGTATGTTTACGAGGAAACTGTATCAGAGGACAGTTTGGGTGTTTCAGGCATAACCACACCCACATAACAAGAACTGTCTTAATCATAGACTGTAAATAATAATTCTTAATCCTCAATCTGAATACTTACAGTCCGTGGTCTTAATTTACTGAATCAGAACGCTTCAAATGTTGTACCACTGTGTTATCCAAAGCTCTGTGTCGTTTGTCATTTTATTACATACATATTCCTCGTGTAGTTTATCATGATTCTGTTTAACATCTTTGACTTTAACGTGTTTAAACAAAATGTAAAATAAAAAAAAACGATGCATACCCGAACAAGAACAGCAACAGAAAAGAGTTAAAACATCAATATCAACTTCCAGATTAAACATTAGGGGAGACCGGGGGGTACTTCTAACACGGTGCACATTTTACATCATACTTCGGCCCACTCTCTGGGTCTTTTTCAAACCAGCCACTACACCCTCTCCCTACCCACTACCCCTCTGTTTGTGCGTCCTCGCGGAGGGTCCGCCATATTAAGTCCTTCCCAAACCAATTAGCGGGGAGTGGTAGTGGGTTATAAAACCCTCCACCAGCGAGTCTGCACCGATGCCGATTTTCGGATCACGTGCAACGCCTATTGTGTCCGGTCGTCATGGAGACAGCAACCTGTGAGTTCAAACACTGCTCCAACTAAGATAGACATTTAATATCGTCATACAGACGTTAACAACTTCAAATGTGTACTGAGGATCAAATATATGTATTTATTGTAAAGTGTTTTATATTTACAGGGACTGTTGCAAAAACAAAAGAATATTAAATCATGTTGCAGACAACTTTTCGCTGTTAATATTTATTTCTTATTTTTCTACTTTTGATGTCTTTGTGAAATCTCAATTCAACAATAAAAAATACACTTTTTGCTTCTCTGATGTTCAACAATAATATCCTTGTCTTTGCATTAATTTAGGACATCCTGATCTAAAAATTAAAATAAATTAACTTAAATGATAAATTACAATAAACAATGTAGGCTCAATCTAATAGTTTTGTTATAAGTCTACACTAATATAACTGAAGAAGAAGAAGAATCTAGGCTACATAAATATTTTTACAGAATGCATTAGCTACAAAAAAAAACTGTTTCCGCAAGATATCGCTGAGTAACCATGGTAACACATATTTCCTGTTTCCACCTGAGAGAGGGAAGTTTGTCCCAAAGCCTGCCTCTGTATTTCTACCCTACACCTTCATGAAGGGGACTTCACTCAGCTGAGAGTGTGATTTCTGACGGAGTGCACTCCATCACGGAGGGGGAGGGTGTAGGGGTTGGTTTAAAAAAGGGCCTAGATGTCCACCCTCATACACTCACTGACTTTGATGAGGGATCTCTCGCTGACTTTTCGAGCCCTTTAAGCACCATGTAAGTAAGTGATCATCTCTGCAGACTCAGCCTGAGGAACGTAACCATAGTTCTTAGCTTTGAGATGTGAAACATGTTTCCCAGGGGAGGATGGAAAGGTAAACAAATGCCATAAAACGATAAAAACCAAGGGAGAGATGTTAGACAAGCAGGAAGGTGAAACCTCTACCAAAAAAGTATATATGGAAACTAAAGCTTATTCAGAAATCTACTGTCTGCAACAAGAGAGATAGAGAGCATAGTATTTACAAATTTACATATAGGCCTATATTAAGTAAGAACTTTTTATAAGTGCCATGGGGCTGTGAGTGAGTAAAGTAAAACAGTATAATAGAAATACATAATGCCACATGACATCATGCTGTCATGGTTACAGAGAATAGTGGATTTGATTATTCCCCATGATGTCATAACCATCACAGGTAGACTGATCACGAGTTACCTGAGTGTGAAACGATGATTCATGCTCCTGTAGAAGACACAAGTTCGTCTGATAGCAGCCTCGTTTTAAGACAAACGTGGTATATTTGTGATGTCGGTGGGAAAGAACTACACTACCCACAATCCTAGAGTGTCGGAGCGATGTCTCTGATTGGTGGAGCCCGCTGTTACCAAGGAAATGTTTATCACCCCTGCAACCACTGAAGTTCAACACAATAACGTTCTTCAATGTCTGAAACATTATCATCAATACAAGCACTAAAGTAAAGAGAAATCAGAAAGAAGCTTTAAACTATGGTTTGTTGGGCTCGTTGGAATTGCAATGGATTATGGGATGTGTAGCTCTTCACCTTTCGGAAAATTCTTGTCTTTTAACTGCATCATTTTTTTGCGCCTTATCAAATGTTTTATGGTCACATGTATGCAGGTAGGTGGTTCTGCTTTTAACATGTGTGGTATCGAGAAGAAACACTTTGACCACTTTGGTTTGAAGCTTTTAATGGGTCATTTGTGTGATGGAGGTGTGGTTATAGCGATATCGTAATGGTGGAGGGGCCCCATGTGAGTAACAGTAAAAGGTTATTGTGCTGAGTGGCCCCTCTCAGTCTTTAAATGTATGGCATTAAACTCACATCTGATATTCTTTATTGTTTATCTTTGTAGGACAGAAAGCTGCCATGGACTCAAATTGGTCCCCAATTTCAGGGGCCTCAAGAGGCTCTCCAATGCAGGGGGCCACAAGAGGGTCCCCAATAATAGGGTCTCCATTGGCAGGAGCTGCAAGGGGGTCCCCTATAATAGGGGCCGTGAGCGGGTCCCCGATGACAGGTGCCTCATGTTGGACGCCTATGTCAGGACCTGCATGTGGGCCCCCGATATCAGGGGCCTCGTGTTGGTCCCCAATGTCAGGGGCTACAAGTGCGCCCTCAATGCCAGAGTCCGTAGGTGTTGCCCAAACCCCAGGGGCTTCTCATTTTGCCACCAAAGTGGAGCTGACGATCTCATGTGAGAACCTGATGGACATGGACATCTTCTCCAAGTCGGACCCTCTGTGTGCCGTCTACATCAACACCTCGGGCTCCCGCTGGTACGAGGTAAGGAAGCAGAGAAGTCTATAATTATAAATAATGTCGATGAGCGTCTCCTACAGTTGTACCTGAGTGTGTTTTTGTTTTTGTCCATCAGTTTGGACGCACAGAGATGATCCTGAACAACCTGAATCCAAAGTTTGCCAAGAAGTTTGTCATGGAATATTACTTCGAGATGGTGCAGAGGCTAAAGTTTTGCGTTTATGATATTGACAATAAAACTTATGATCTCAGTGATGACGACTTTCTTGGGGAGCTTGAATGCACCCTGGGTCAGGTGAGCTTCACTCTGTACGGTTTTCAAAGCAAACTTTTGTCACACGTCTTTATTTTTGCCCCGTGGCCCTGCTGTTGTTTTTCTTGTTTCAGATTGTTTCCAACAGGCAGATGACTCGACCTTTGTTGCTGGAGGACAAGAGGCTTGCAGGTCATGGGACCATCACGGTCAGTGGACAACTTCCTCGTGTCTTAAAATAAGTGACAAGCTTATGTACATGCATGAATACATGAATCACATGTTCACAGCAGCTGTTCACAAATGAGTCCTCATGTGTGAGTATACCTAAAGCTGATTCTGATTCTTATAACACATTAAGTTTCTCATTGCATGAAACATGTGCTCCAATAAGTATCTTTTCTAGTTGCGGATCGATATATATGAGGATTTATAGAGTGGTTTCAGAACTTACTTTGGTGATTATGGGGCTGAAAGAAATGGTCTTGGTCTGTTTCCAGGTTCAGTTTTCCTGTTTGGATGAGTAGAGTAAAGACCTGCTGCCTCTCAGTGGGATGTCTTCTTTCCAACCAGTCCCAGGTATAAATGATATTATTGCATACAGACAGAGAGAGAGGGAAAGAGACAGGAGCTCAGTGTGCCGGGACTCCGGAAGTCAAAAGACTCATTTATGCTCTACACCCAATGAGCATATAGATATGGACGGAGCCTTCTGTCTGTACTCTGCAGTCATTTTGGTGCTCTGCAAGTCTTGTGTCAAATGACAGATTCAGACTGAATGTTGCAATACCAGCGGAAATCATAGGCAGGCAGTGTTGAGTAGCCAACACTTCAAGCCAGGCCAGAAAAACATAACAAAGAAGAATACTTTGGAAAGTAGTTTAACCTTTTTGAGGAAAGATTGTAAGAGTTGGGTAGGAACTACAAACATATAAATGATGCTAGCTCGCCTTGGCACAGGGACAGACGACCACGACAGATCAGCTGGGCAGACATCGGACATGCTCGTGCATGTAAGTGAGCCTGGCTTATGAGGGAGTGCAGAGGGGAGGGGGAAGGTGTAGATGGCGCACTGAGGGAATGCTACTTTTCTGATGCATGGGAGTTTTGTATTGTTTAAAACGTACGTATCTATATTCATATGCAATGGAAGTATTAATGAGCCTATAGCAGCATAACTAGCTGCTGCCCAAGCCTGAGTCAGCCCAAACTATAAGCTTTAACATTACACAAAGTAGAGAGGGTGTCACTTAAAGCACTTTTTCTTTCTACGATAGATCCGTGCTGAAGAAATAACCGACACCAGAGTTGCAAACTTTGAGGTTTCAGCACGCTGCCTTGACAAAAAGGTACTTCATTTCTTTCTAATAAGTTTTGTTTGATCGTGATTTTTTGCAACCTGTTAATCTACTTGTTAGACCTGTTCAAAATGACGACAAGAAGATCTTCTTAAACCCTTCAGCGTGCCTTGGAAGGACAGTTGCATGATTGATATTTACTCATGCCTCCCCTTCACGAGATGAACTAAACTGTAAAAATGAATTTGTTGTGGTGGTTCAGTATCTGTGGTGGTCCGACCCTTTCCTGGAGTTCTTCAAGCAGACAGAAACTGGCTGGCGGCTGGCTCACAGGACAGAGGTACAAATATTGACCAACAACTCGTTCCTCCTCGTACATGTGATAATTAACGTTCGGCTCCTTTCAACCTGTTCATGTAGGTGGTCAAAAACAACCTTAACCCCATATGGAGACCTTTCCGCATCTCCCTGCGAGCTCTCTGTGGAGGAGATGTGGAGAAACCTGTGAAGGTATGTCTTTGTTTTTAGTCCGTTTTTATACAATGTAGCCGATTAACACGCCATGTTCCCGTAAATTAAACATCCCCTGAAAACTGCGTGAACTTTCCAGCCTCATTTTTACGTTTGATATCAGCTCGATTGACCATTTTTATTCTCTAACAAACTAATGATTCATGTTTTTTGCTGCATGTTCCTTTCACCTTATGATGCTCCCAAATGCAAAGCGAGGCGCTGCTTGTGACCCGGCTGGATGAGCGCTGTGTGTGTTTGCACGAGTTGTGACGTCACAGCACAAGGTGTGAAGCTCTGCTGTTTTTCTTTTTACTCAGTTGGTTTTATTTTTGTTGTAATTACCTGCATAGAGTGAAATATGAATATTTCTGGATGAGGGGTGGAGCTTATTTGTTGGAGCCCGACCAATAAGGGACGAGAATGATTTCTAAAATTGCAAACTAATAAATTAACTGCTATGTAAGTTGTTGGTCAGGCTCTTTTTTTTGAGTACATTGTAGTCAGGTTAAAATTTTAAATCTACAATCTTGCCCTTGTTGAAAGACTTCAAAAAAGTTCCATAAAAAGTTTCACATCCTGACGAAACTAAATGTTTGCTTCTGAAAACTCCCCCACATCTTCCATATCTACCCACCTTGTTTTAACACTCAGCAGCGTCTGAGCTCAGAACGTGTGCTTGATTATTGACTGTAAATCTCTGTTTGTGTCCTCAGGTTGATTGTTACGACTATCGTGTAAACGGCTCCCATGCCCTCATCGGGACTTTCACAACCACGCTCGCAGAGATGCAAACAGGAAGTCACGTTTGCCCAGTGAGACCTTTGTAGTCTGTGTGTGTGTGTGTGTTGGATTTCTGACCTGATACTTTAATTTAGACGTGCATTAATAAAGTTCTCACTTGCAGACAGAGCTTCAGTGCATTAATCAGAAAAAGTTGAAGAAGAGGAACTACAAAAACTCCGGGGTCGTCTGCTTTAAGCGATGCGAGGTAAACATTAAGAGAGGAGGACATGTAAGACCTCGGCTCCGCCTCCATGTGACAATATTCTTTCACTGTGAGCTGCTGCATCGGGCATTTTGAAGACAACTTCTTGTTTCATTGTTTCCTGCTGCACAAAGATGACATCATGTTTACCTTCACAGGTGGTGAAGGAGTTCACCTTCCTCGATTACATCATGGGAGGATGTCAAATCAACTTCACTGTGAGTCTGCAAATATCAAACTGAAAGAGTTACTGTTTAAGTATTTTTATTTTTTTATGCTCAAATTTGTAACACTGGCTGACGATACGATAAAATGGATATTTCAAAACGATAACGATACAGTGCAACGCAATACGATATGATATGATGCAAAGCATCTGTCTGGAGATCAAGACCGATTTCAGAGTACTCAAGAGCAGAGTGTTAAATTGAATTTCCTCTCGCGGGATTAATAAATTATTCTTCTATCCGTCCTTAGATTTACATTTATATCATACAAATCGATGCAATTCAATTCAATATGTTACAATGTGATTACAATGTGATATAGTGTGATACAGTAAGCTACAACGCAATTCAACATGATACATGCGATACGATACGAGGTGAAGTTCCTCTCTCTGTATCTTTTATTTGGTAGCCGTGTCTCGATCACTGTCCTCTCTCTGACCCACTTCAGATCGCCATCGACTTCACGGGCTCTAACGGAGACCCCCGAAGCCCTCAGTCTCTCCACTATATCAACCCTGAAGGATATAACGAGTACCTGACGGCCATCTGGGCGGTGGGTAACATCATCCAGGACTACGACAGGTAAACTCTTACTCTGCTTCATCCTGCACTAACGTGTGTGTGTGTGTGTGTGTGTGTGTGTGTGTGTGTGTGCGTGGCCCCTCGGTGCTGGCGGCGGATATGTCAGAAAAACACGTGTTTTTCTGACATATCCGCCGCCAGCACCGAGGGGCCACGCACACACACACACACACACACACACACACACACACACACACACACACACACACACGTTAGTGCAGGATTTTTGTGTGTGTGTGTGTGTGTGTGTGTGTGTGTGTGTGTGTGTGTGTGTGTGTGTGTGTTTTGAGTGTACAGAAGGGGATTCCCTCATTTCCAACACTGCAGAGACTTCAAGCGTATTAAAACAAGAAAAAACAACAACAAACGCTAAATATCAATAACAACAAACACATTGAGATCAACAAAAACACTCACAATTTGAAACAAATTCAGAAATCAGATTCCTGAACTTTGGGGCATCAAAAGAAAATACAGGATTGACTGCTGAACAACAGAGTGCTTCAGTCTGAGCGTATGAAAATGTGGGACCCTCAAGTTCAGAGCGTGGTGAGGGTCGGAGACGATGCTGTTAAACCTGCAAAGACTGACTCATGGAGTCTCTGAATCTTTGAGCAGATTGTCTCAGACCCTTTTGTATGTTGTTTCTCTCTTTTCCTGCAGTAACAAAATGTTTCCCGTTTTTGGGTTTGGAGCCCAGATCCCAAACTCCTGGCAGGCAAGAACATATTTCAGCATTAACTGTTTGTTTTTTACACGTTTGTTCTCATAGTATTGTGATTTTTTTCCTCCATCTATGTGGTCACTCGCTTTGCTGGCAGAGTTCTGCATTAAGCTTTTAGTTATTTAGAGAAAACCTGAAAATAAACTTGAGACAGTGGGAAAGACTGGAGGCGCTGGTGGCACAGTGGGTAGAGTGCGCGTATCATGTGTGGATGCAATGGTCCTCCTGGCGGGCGGCCCACTAACTCGACCCGGGTTCAAATCCGACCTGTAGCTCCTTTCCTGCATGGTGGGGGAAAGTTTCTATGAATCTGATTAGGAGGACATGAGAATAATGTAGGGTTGACATGATCCATTTAAAGATGTAGGTCATGGTGTAACATTGTCCTATATATAAATCTCGCTCACAGGTTTCTCATGAGTTTCCCATCAATTTCAACCCGGCCAATCCGTTCTGTGCAGGTCAGTCAAACTTTGTGTTTTCATTGGAAGCTTCTGTGGTGACAGTCTGATGTGTGAGTGTGTGTTCATGGTGTGTGTTGCAGGTATAGAGGGTGTGGTGGACGCCTACCAGAAGTGTTTACCTCAGCTGAAGCTCTGGGGTCCCACAAACTTCTCTCCCATCATCAACCATGTGGTGCACTTCGCCCGACAAGCTCTCCGGCAGAACGTGGCCTCAGTAAGTCGCCACAAACCATTCATTTTTTTTGATTTTTTTTCATCAGATTCTCCTGAAATCGTTGTGTCGTTGTTTTGACTTTACGTCCTGCGTTTGTTTCCTCTGATCTTCTGCAGCAATACTTTGTGCTGCTCATCATCACAGACGGCGTGATCACAGACATGGACCAGACTCGCACCGCTATTGTCGAGGCGTCCCGACTGCCCATGTCCATCATCATCGTCGGGGTGGGCGAGGCCGACTTCGACGCCATGGAGTTCCTCGACAGTGACGACAAGCTGCTCCGTGCTCCAAACGGTGACGTCGCCTCAAGAGACATCGTCCAGTTTGTGCCCTTCAGGAGCTTCCAGGTGAGAAACAGATCGACCTCAATAATCCTGGAACAGAGAAAGAACCAATGTACAATGTTTAGAATTTGGACTGCAGTACCCATTTTATACATTAGGTGTCAGAGTTACATATTGCTCCTTTCATATCGTGTTCTAATAAGCGCTGGACTTAAAGTAACAGGTTTAAATCTTAGATTATTGAAAGAGGGCTGCACGGCGCTGCAGTGGTTAGCTCTATCCCCTCACAGTGAGGAGGTTCCTGGTTTGAATCCTCGTCCTTCAGGAGTCTCTCTGTGAGGAGGTTCCTGGTTTGAATCCCCGTCTGACAGGAGTCTCTCTGTGTGGAGTCTACATGTTCTCCTCGTTCATGTGTGGGTTCTCTCCTGGTACTCCGTCTTCCTCTCACAGTCCAAAGACATGCTGGTTAGGTTAACTGCTGACTCTATATTGTCTGTAGGTGTGAATGTGAGTGTGGCTGGTTGAGTGGCTGTATCCAAATTGCCAAGTACCTACTCAATCTGTCAGTAAGCAGTAGGCAGTACCTGCTATCCGTGCTGTATACTGTTTTGTACCTACTATTCAGTATGCACACACAGTAGGCAGATATTTGTTCCTACTTCTTCTGATTCATTCAGTATGGAAGTGATGTCATTTACGTTTCCCGAACCGGCCGCATTCACACGTTGTTTTTTTGTTTGTTTTTGTTTAGCTTTATTCAAGAAGAGTAATGTGCATACAGTCAGGTAAACAAAAAACAATATCACAAGTAAAAGACAGATTAAATAACTAAATAACATACAGTACATAAAGAACAAATGAAAGACAGTAATATACAGAATATAAAATAAACCAATAAAGACACATTTAAATAGTTAAATCATTATTTAAATAGAGGGGGAAAGGTTTTATAATAATGCAGACATTTGTTATATTTTCTGTTGTTAATTAAAAGTAGTGATTTCAGTCGGGACTTGAACTTTAGATTAAAAATGTATTAGATTAATCCACGCTCGTGTGTTTTGATTTGGAGGCGGATGTGACGTGACGGTTTTCGCACAGCATTGTGGGAGTTAAAATACAATTCATTTCCTGAAAGCACGCATCCGATCCATACTGCATGAAACCTGGAAGTTAGTATCCATACAGAAATGTTCAGTATACTGAGGTGGACCCAAAAAATGCATACTGAATGACCATGAAAGTTCAGTATACTGAAACTCCATACTGAATAGTACGTACTGCCTACTGAACTGTGGCTATTCGGAAAGGGCCTCTGTCTCTCTATGTCAGCTCTGTGATTGGCTGGTGAACAGTTCAGAGTGTAACCCCGCCTCCCCTAATCAGGATCAGCTTCAGCCCTCCATGACCCCGAGCGGGAAAAACGTTTTAGATAATTATGATCATTATGTTGTTTATTGCTCATCATATTAAAGTGACCATCAACCAGCATGCATAATCAGGCAACCAGCTCGTGCTTACCAACGTTTAATTGGTCTGTATGAGCTTCACACACACACACACACACACACACACACACACACACACACACACACACACACACACACACACACACACACACACACACACACACACACACACACACACACAGTCATGTCAGCAGTCATGCTCTCATTGTTGTCATGCTGTCGTTTCAGGGAAACAGCGTGGCTCTGGCGCAGAGCGTCCTGGCCGAGCTTCCTGATCAAGTCTCCTCCTTCTTCAACTCTTTCAATCTGAAACCCCCGAATGTTTATAATCTTTCTAACCCCTCCTAAAAGAAAAACGTGTATGTTTCAGTCTGAGTATCATGTATGGCAGGCAGAGAAACAATCAGTGTGAGACCTAAAATACTAATTTCAGAAATAGTAGAAGTTTATTGCGATGCCCAGGAGGTGACAAGGATGAAAGTGTGTATGTTTTCTATTTCGTGCACTTGTTTTATTATTTACTCGGGCCTCTTAGTAATTTACACCTTCACATTCACACACTGATGGTAGAGGTAGTTGTACACATTCATACACCACTGACAAAGCAGCGGGAGCAACTTGGGGTTAAGTGTCTTGCCCAAGGAAGCATCGGACATGTTGCTGCAGGAGCTGGGGATCGAACCCCCGACCGTCCGGCTGAGAGTCAACCGACTCTACCACTGAGGCACAGCCGCCCCTCCCCATCTCTCCCCATCTCTCCCCATCTGCTCTCACACTTCTTGTGTGAGCATCGCGGTGCGACTGTTCCATTTTTGTTTGACCTAGTATTTAATTATTTATTTAAATAAATCTAATCTTAATTTTGCATACATCTCGTCTCGCCTCGCCAATTTGTGTTGCAGCCTAAGAGTCGGACTTATAAAGACCACATTCCCACGGCGACTAAAATCTAAAATGTATTTATTTACTTAAAGATGTACAAGCGAGTTGCTCAAACGTGTGCGTAATCTATGAAACGAGTGTGAGAAACAGAAAGCGCACGTACCTTTAAAAAATAACAACATGGGGCATCTTAGCTTAGTGGTTAGTGTGCAAGCCCCGTGTGTGGAGGCTGTAGTCCTCCAAGCAGGCCGCATGGGTTCGAATCCGACCTGTGGCTCCATTCCTGAATGGCGCTCCCCACTCTCTCTCTCTCTGATCTCTGACTCTATCCACTGTCCTGTCTCTGCAATGAAGGCACAAGAAGCCCCAAAATAAATCTTAAAAAAATAACAACAACAACATGTCATCACCTCTTGGTCTCCGGGGAAGAAAAACCACCTTCAACTCTGTTACGGCTTTTACGTGACAACCCAGAGCTGAGATGAGCTCTCATTGAGATGTTTTATATTTTCAAGGGTCCCGCTTTGAGTTGCTTGCTACCCGCCAAAGGTTTGGCTGTGGTGTTGTTGAGTGTCTGTGGCTATAGCATCCCTCCTGGTAACGTCAGTAAACACTGACAGAAAAAAATATATGATTGAAAGTATAAATGTTTGTGAGATGTATCTTGATTGAAGAGCATGATGTTGAATGTTGGATTAAAAATCACTCAATAAATAAAGATATACTTATTAATCAGATGACTAACCACAAAATAAACCTGTAATTCTTCTAATGTGTGTGTAAAAGAAACATTATATGATGACGTGTAAAGTGCATGATGACACCATGAATGTTTTATTAAAATCATTACTTCTTGTATTATTTGTTGTATAATTGCTTTTTGTGTATTTTCTTTGTGTGCACGATCTCTGAGCGGTTGTGGCCCGTAGTTCTTGTCTTAATATTTATTTGAAGTGAGCTTTTAATGTCTGTGCTATATGTGTCAGTTTGTCCAGAGCGCTGAGCATTTTGCTCTTCAAGCTTGAGCTTTGCCTTGATTCTTTTAAACTCTCGACTGGCTCACAGGGAATATTTGTAAGCATGAATAAAATGTTTAATTTGATTTACAACTGACAAGTAATGTACAATCACCTGCTGCTATACGCTGGGGGAAAAAGGGATTATTTGTGTAAAATATCCGTTGATCTATCCGAGCTCTGTTTTTCTACATTTACAAATTAATATATATTACAAATTTATGATATGTGCTAATATATGCATCTGTCAATAAAACCATTGAATCAATGTGTATCTATTGTCTTTTTAAACACATTGTGTAAATAATCTTAAAATGTCTGACCCACTTTCCTCTTGATGCTCATACTTATGATGGTTTCCTTTTTACTCGTCCCTCAACTCACCATTTCTTTAATGACTTGAACATGCTACACACTCATACGCTGAAACGCATATGCACAAATGGGATCCTATGGACATGCACTAATGGAAAGTTGTCGGAGTGAGTGGGGCGCACACTGCGAGCTCTCCTGCTCCATGGCACCTCGGCAGTGCTCAGGAAGTGATATGGCACCTCCAACTATACCAGACCAATTTCCAGAAATGGTCCACACTGGGACTGGTTTATCGTAATTTTATATTACATACAAGAATTGTCATAGTAAAGTCTAATGAAATTAAATTACGGTTTTCATTTTTTAAGGCTTTAAATCGGTAAAGACCCCAACTTGTCCATTAACCACCATTCATTCAGATGCAATGATTTCACCCAGAAAGGGGCGGGGCTGGCATCGTTTGGGCGAAGTACCCGGATGGGTTGCTCTCATGAATGCTCCGCCCTACACATCTAGCTGCTAGCTAACTCAGCTGGCTAACAAGGTAAGGACTACAAACTGGCGTCTTTCGTTGACATTTCGTAGAGTTTGTCATCAAATTAGATTAATAATTGAACTTTTAAACAGCTTCTGTTAACTTGTGTCGCTGACACGTATCATGTGACCGTCAGCTTGATAAAGTGTAGATGGGCGTTAACCGTTACTCACTTTAACAGAAATAAACATTAAATAAAATAAAACAGCATGTTTACATTAGCAGAGACAGCTCTGCGTGTTTGTGTTTCCTTTGTAATAAAGTGAGTTATCGATGTTCAGAAAAGTTAACGTCTGTAAGTGTTTTTTGTATTTAATGTTGGGCAGACATTATAAAACACCTTTATGCTCTATTGTTGTTTAATGACTTCATTATTCTGATCATATATAACGCTGTTTCTGTTCGGGACAGTCTCACCTTCTTCACCTCCAGAGTCAGTTCATATTTTGGCTGTTTCCTGTAAGTTTGTGCAGGTCCATGCGCTGCGTTTGGCACCAAACCTTTAGCGTTTTAAAAGCAGCACCATGATGAAGAAACATGACATTTATTGAAACTAAATGAGCCGAATTGAAGAAGCGAACATACAGACTCATAATGTCTATAAGACATAATCTAAATGCAGTTTATTTATACTCGTCAAACACCATCACCAGAGGCTGAACACTTCTGGGTGTGGCAACTTCTTACATGGAAATCGGGCCAAATGTAATATGTGAACGTCTGCTGAGGTAATGGAGCAAATGATTTACTCAAGTTTATGTGGCAATGGCTCCAGGTCACAAGGCATTTATTTTCCAACATCTGCATCACATGCTTTTATTACACTTAACATTCTGAACTCTTTGAAAAACGAGCAATACATGAGCATAAAATAACATATAATAATGATAATAACATATCCAACATATCTTATCAAACACATCACCAAAACAGCCTTTTCCATCTCAGAAACATTGCCCATCCCCCCCCCACCTCTTTTCAGCTGCTAAAACCCTCACCCACACATTCTTGATCAATAGTCTCATCTATGCAACTGTACCACATCGCCCCCGGCCTTCATAACCTCCACTGGCCCCCACACACACACACACACACACACACACACACACACACACACACACACACACACTGTCTGTCTGTCTGTCTTCTACATCCTACAACCACTAACAAACTCTGTTCTCATCCTCCTTTTCTTAAACTATTACTTTTGTTGATTTCTTTTCTTTGTTTTGTGTCATGCTTTTCTTTTCTAAGCGTCACCTTACCTACTGACTCCAGTACCCTGGATTTGAGTATCTTCAGATATCGATAACTTTGTTGACTCTAACTTCTCCCTCTCATAAAAAGTAATTTTTTTCATGTGTTTCAGTTTGTATGTACGTGTGAGTCGTCAAGGCTGTGATGGCGGCAGTGGCAACCCCGGGGTCTAAGGTCACTGACTGTGTGACCAAGGTGGCGATTAGCATCTCGTGTGAGAATCTGCTTGACATGGATGCTTTCTCAAAGTCTGACCCTCTGTGTGTTCTCTTCATGAACAACAGTTCAGGGCCCCACTGGACTGAGGTAAGGAGGTTAAAAAGGTTGTTTCTCTGCAAAGATATCAAGTGTTTGTAAAAAAAAAAAAAAAAAAAAAAAAAAGATGTTAAACTAAGGGAAAAGAGTGTCAGAGAAAGAAAGAAATCCATCACCCTGAAACATCTCTCTGTGTCTGCATTAGGTGGGCCGGACGGAGAAAATCAACAACTGCCTTAATCCCAAATTCTCCAAGACTTTTGTCATCGACTATTATTTTGAGATGGTGCAGAAGCTGAAGTTCGAGGTCCACGACATCGACAGTGACAACAGCCTGCAGGATGCTGACTTCCTGGGCGAACTGGAGTGCACCTTGGGACAGGTAAGCCCTCTCTGCTGTCAGAACAGATCCTGCACAATCCTGATGCTTTTGTATCTTATAAAGTACTGTTTCATTTCCCTGGTTTAGCTTATTTTACTCTTTTAAGTTGAAAAAGTGTTTTTCTGTCCAGATTGTGTCCTCGAGGAAATTCACAAGACCACTTGTAAAGAAGGACAAGAGACCTGCAGGAAGAGGAACCATCACTGTGAGTTTGTTCTTTTCAAAGTGACAGTTTATAAATCTTAGAGTAACTGTGTTTCTTTCCACTTCTCACTGCTGCTTAATGTTTTTATAGATATGTGCTGAAGAAAGAACAGACAACAGGGTGGTGGTGTTTGAAGCTGCGGCTAGAAAACTGGATAAAAAGGTACTGGTAATCCTGAGAGATTTGAATTAAAAGATTAAAAAAGACTAAAAGACATTCAGAAATATTAAGATGATGAGGATGCAGCCTATTTCTGCAACTGGGGATACGTTTCTATGAAGAGAAATCAGATTCTTTAACATTTTCATTAAGTTTAAAAACATGTTCGGGTTAGAAGACAAGAAAAATCTTGTGTTTTTTAAATAATAAAAGTGTCTTTAGTTTCAGAGCATGAATATTTCAGGGATGTTTAGAAATCTCAGGAACTGTAAATAATATTTTCTTCCTAAAACAGTTTGTGTGCAATAATGTGATTTAATTTCACTCTTTAAAACCTCAACAACAATGTAGTCAACTTTTCTGTGAATTTGTTGTTGTCAGCCAGTGAGCTCATTTTAAACTCCAGTCGTCTAGTCAGATTTTTATACCAATGACATGTCATTACACACAGGTTTTGATTTTCCTTTACTTTCAGGATTTCTTTGGCAAGTCCGACCCTTTCCTGGAATTTTACAGGCAGACAGAAACTGGGTGGCAGCTGGCTCACAGGACGGAGGTACAGATATCATGTAGAGCTGCATGCTGCCTAGTTCAAAGGTTTTAACACTGCAGGAGCAACATCTGGAATGTATTTTGTGCACTTTGAAGTTCATGCATGTGCTTTGTTTTTACTGTAGGTGGTGAAAAACAACCTGAACCCGACATGGAGACCGTTCAGCATCCCTCTGCAGTCACTCTGTGGAGGTGACGTGGAGAAATCCATAAAGGTACAAACACAGGCATAAGTGGACTGCAACACCTGTAAAGCTGGCGACACACTAGATGATTTTAGGTCAGATTACTACTACCGTAGGGGCGTGGCCTAATTAGATGTTTGACTCAACCGGTTATTTGTCCAAATAATCCTCAAGCATTTGGCGTCAATGTAATTATTTCACTGCTCCTGATCGAGTCTGAGTCGCCCCTCTCTCGAATCGTAAATATCAAACCTATGATTCTAGATCAGGCTGCCTCTGACAGAATAGCTGCAACAGCCAATGAGAGCGAGCAGACCAGGAAGCGCAGCCAACTGGATGCTGCATACTTTTACAGCTCACAAACATGGCGGCGAACATAAACACAACTGAGCCTCGAGGGGAGTCTTGAAGAAGAAGCAAAGCTTGTGGAGTCATGGCAACAACATCAAGACAAACCACTCAGCCAGCCGACCACGCCCATTGTCCTCCATGTGTGTGGTCTTGCAGTCTGGCTGAATCGTCTTGGTGTATGTTCGGAGGATTCTAAAGTTAAAAACTGGTTGAAACGGTCCTCATGTCTGTGGTCTCTCACATTGTTAAGATCAGTTAAGATTTGAAAATTGTCTCGTGTGTTGCCAGCCTTAAGACACAGCCGCATTGTTCTGTCCACCTTGTGGTCGGGTCGCTAGCAGGAGGAAATTACAAAACGTCAAAATGTTCTTCTGATGTTGTTTGTTGCTGCAATCTTGTACAATCCCTCCTGTCTCATCCAGGTTTAGTAACGTTACTAATGCTAGAAAGTACAATTCATAACCTTATAAAGAGGAAGGTCATCTCTCTAATCATTTGAGATGAACTTTTACGAGTAAATCAGAATTTTCCACGGCTGTTTTCAGGTAAGTGATGTAATGAATATGTGAAACTTTGTAAAACTGATATCCAGGAAATATCACAACTTGGAAAATCTCAAGAATTTACCAACTTTATTAAGATGTCCATGAATTTAGATTAGCTTTTATCAGCTCTTTGTCAGAGGACATCGAACTCTTTAAGCATATCATGCGTTCTGATGACTTTGATAAGGAAATGTGTTTAAGCTTTAGTTCATGTGTTTTGTTTTTTTGTTTCTTACCCCATAAACACACACAGAGATGATTTCAAGTCCACAGACAAGTGAGTTTTCTGTCCTCGCCTTCAGTGCTCTCTTTCTTCACAAAGGAGGATGCAGTGTCTGTGACAGGACGGGGACGCATCTACATCTATCTTAAAGGAAAATGTTAAAAAAAAAAAAAATGTTGCTCGTTGGTTAACTTATCCCATGTTTTTATGGTGTGTCTCTGTTTGATTGGTGACTGTCAGAGGACCTCTAGAATCAACAAAAAATAAGACATGGAAGTAGCGGACGGAGCAACAGAGTCCTCTATACG